AATATACATCTAACCATGATATGTAGAAATGCAAAACAACTACAATATCTTCAAGAAGTTCACACATTCAAGAATTAAGTATAATCCATCAAAGGTTGGTATAATTCATCTATCTAAACTAGGGTATAGCATGAAATATCCTTCCTAAGTTATGAACTATCAAAGTCCTCAATTTGTGTGGCTAGTACACATGAAGTCAAAAACTAAGCGATAATCCATTAAAGGTTTCCCTAAGCTATGGACTATCAAAATTTCCATACAACATGTCAATAAAACCATTGTGCAATCTTATCTTCATTCTCACTATAAAGATGTAAGTAGCGTAATCATAAAGAAACAATTTCTAAGACAAGATAAGAGTCTCAACAAGATTAAATATGGAATGCAACACAAACACATCAAAATGTATCTCTAGATTATACAACTTGTCACATATATGCAAAGTTCCCCAAATATAAACACAATTAAAACATATTTACTTGACAAGGATTATATCAACTCCCTAGGAAGAGAGTTAGCCTCTCATAGTTGATGTTGCATCCCCCAAAGGAGCTGAAGAGCTTCCATTTTTGTGCACCCCCTCTCCCTCTTCTCCTCAGCCCTCCTTTTCTCTACACCCTAAAATTCTATCTCTAGACTTTGCAAAAATGTGAGATATATCTTTTTACATGGTTTAAGCCTTCTAAATATCAACCTTATCCTTCCATCCACCCCAAATTCGTGGTCCAAAGCTCCTAGACAAAGTGCAAAGCAATCCCCTAATTAAGGGGATAACATTTGGTGAAAATAAGGGAGCCCATGCTCTCTTGTCTGCAAAACGGTAGGCGCCCGTGGATCCACGAACTTGCTGGCCATTTTGGAGGGCGCCTGCAGGTTTATGGCGCGCGCCCGCAGCTTGTCCTCAGCACTGCACACTTTTGGTAAAAAGCCTATAACTCTCTGCTCCGAACTCTAAATGATAAACCGTTTGATGATTTGTAAAGCTAACTCAAAGATCTAAGTGTGTCATGTTTTAATGAAAGTCCAATTCTCAAGTTTAGTGGGTCTAAAATGAAGAACAAAGTCAAACTTCACTACTGCCAGGCTACTTTTGGTAAAAAGGCCATAACTCTCTGCTCTGAACTCCAAATGACGAATCGTTTGATGATTTGGAAATTTAACTCAAAGATCTAAGTACATCATGTTTTAATAGGAGTCCAATTCTCAAGTATGGTAGGTCAAAAATGAATAACAAAACCGAACTTCACTGTTGCCAGGCTGTAAATTTTAGCATTGCACACTTCGATCTTCAAGAAGCCGTTAAGACTTCCATTTTATTTCTTTTTGGGAAACAAACCTAAAAATAAACAAAAATATGAAACTGAAGATAATCTATATAAATTGATTAAATAATGGACTTAACTAATGCAAATAAAGGCGCTTGAATATACAATATTCGGCGCTTATCAACTTCATTAGGCTACGCCCCATTGACCTGGGGCTCGTTAACTGGAGGAGCGTTTTAGTTTGGGAGAGGTGCGGCCATATCAACTTGTGGCAGTTGTGGTTTCAACTGAGCCATCGTCGTTTGAAGGGTGTCGTTTTGTTGTTGAAGCAATGCAATTTGGGTTACGCTGGCTTCGTTCGCCTGACGAAGTGTTTCGAACTAATGCAGAAATTCTTCTTGCATCTTTTGCATCAACTCCATCTGTTGATCAGCCGCTGTTGCAGATTCCCCATTCAACATTCGAGATCGTAGTAATAGAAACAATTTGAAACAAAAGTGGGAGTATAGTTCTATACAATTCCCACAGATGGCGCCAAAGTGTAGGTGCAAAATTTCTCTCTATTAAAAGAAATAAAAAGAAAAATACAACTCACTCAGAACAAGCAATTATAATACTCAGAGACAAGTATTTATTGCTCAATGATTTTATTGGAGGTCTAGGCCTCTATTTATATAAAACAAGGTGGTAGAATTATGGTAGGACTCGCCTTACTTGTCTTCCAATTCATTCCATATACAATCATTCTTTACAATTGAAATTCTTTCCTTTTTACAATTATTTCCATGCAAAACTTTCCTTACACAGAACTTGCCTTCTTTGTTGAATCCTTTGTCTAGAGGACTCGTTTATTCTCATATAGCTTGGGCTGTATGTATCTTGAATCGTCTGGGCTTGATAAATGGGCCAAATGACTAATGTTAGCGATCTTGATAGAAACGCAGATTCAGCTTGGGCTCGTTCCGGATTGGGACCTCGCAATATATATAATATAAATTTGTAGTGTGATGATGTGGACGATCCTCGTTGGAGGGGGATTTTTCCCTCCACAGATACCAATCTACTTCTTCTTCGCCAACAGTGTGAAAAAAAAAAAAAAAAAAAGGGAAAAGAAGATATGGGTAAAGTGGTCATTTCATAGTAGCATATATTTTGATTTTTTATAATAAATTAAAAAGTAAGGGTAAATTAGTAATTGTGCTTTTCAGTTGGTCGGAAACTAGCTTCCGGTGCTCTTTAAAGGGACATTTTGCTTACTTTTGATAGTTTAAGAGGGCAACTTGCTCCCAAAAATAGTTTAGGGGGCATTATGCAACAATGAGATAGTTTGAAGGAATTTTTTTGCTCTTTTACCTAGATAAAAATGAACAAAAATGAAATTTTAATGAAACTCTCTTATAGGTAGAAGAACAATTAATGTTGACTTATTATTATTATTATTATTATTCCTTCCGTCCCAAAATAAGTGTCATGCTTTTACTTTTAAATAAGTGTCATGAATTTCAAATTTGAATATTCAAAACTTAAAAGAACAATTTAGTAATTTTCTAAATAGACAACATATATCCCTCATTTTTTGTTTGTTTCAGAATAATAGTCCACTTTCCTTTTTTAAACAATATATTTCACATATTTTCATATGCATATATCTCTCATTTTTTATTTGTTTCAAAATAATAGTCCACTTTCCTTTTTCAAACAATATATTTCACATATTTTCATATGTTTAAAATTTTAAATTTGAATATTCAAAACTTAAAAGAGCGAGTTAGTAATTTTTTAGACAGATAATATATATCCTACATGTCTACTTAAAAATTATCATTCCCTAAAAGGGATATTTAAATTAGGATGGAGGAAGTATTAAAAAAACAATAAACGTTACTTTGGTTCTACAAATTTCCATTAATTTTTTAGTACACCACAAAAATTGATTTAGATAGTCCAAAAAGAACTTTATTCACTCGTTTTAACAACCGGCAAGTTTATCATTTTTCTTAATTTTTGCAATAGTTAGAGAGTCCAAAATGAACACTCTTAACTTGTTTTCACGACGGTAAGTTAATCATTTTCCTTAATTTTTGCAATAGTTAGAGAGTCCAAAATGAACACTCTTAACTTGTTTTCACGACGGTAAGTTTATCATTTTCCTTAATTTTTGCAATAGTTAGAGTCCAAAAAGAACTTTTTAACTTGTTTTAACAATGGCAAGTTTATTATTTTTTAAATTTTTTTTAGCAATAGTTAGAGAGTCCAAAAAGAACTCTCTTAACTTGTTTTCACTACCACAAATTTATCGTTTTTCTTAATTTTTAAACAAGTATGGATCATACTATTGACTTACTTTAATGTATCCGAAAATTTTGGCATATTTATCAAAGGAAATTAATTAATTTAATGACAGAAAGATTATAGCTTATTTGTCAAAATAAAACATTTAAGGCATCTTAAATATATGATTCAGGCCATAATTATTTTACTTTTAAAAAATAAGCTAAATTAATTAGACCTAATAATTTTAATCCTGAAAAGATTTATATCCTTTTATAGATCGGATAAGATTAAAATTCTAATGTTATCCCATCCATCTCTGAATTAGTTTTAAAATTATTAAAAAAATAAAAAATACAATTAAAATGGATAGTCGTAACGGGGTGGGCGTTTGCCCATTTACTCAAAAACTCAAACGGTTGGGTAGTGCTGCATACTAACCTATTTATAACTAATCACTTTTTTATCCTAATCAATAAATGACCTTTGTTACGTTCTCCTCCACCCCAAACTCGCGGTCCATCCTGCCTTTTTCGGGGTGGTTCACCTAAACGTCTTTCGTGCAAGACACTTGGCGTGTATCGGATCAAGAATCGGTTCTGACTCTGATACCAATTATAATGAATAGGTGCTTATTTATTTACTCAAAAATTTAAGCCATTAAATAATACTACATACCTATTAATTTATACCCAATTACATTTTTAATGACAAATAACACTCGTGTAAAATAACACTACTACTATTTTTTTTAAAGACAAGTTGTACACTACCGCTACACTTCTAGCAGGTAGTTTTTGGCTGGGCCACGGGGCTTGTTAATGCCCAGCAGGCGGCACAATTCAAGGAATAATTCGCTGTTACGTGGTGGTGTGGTATCAGTAATCAGTCTATATATATGGGAAATGCGCTCGACGATCCGTAGTCCATTCTTCAGTCTCTGGAATCTCTCGCACACTTATAAGCACTCAGCTCTCTCTCTCTCTCTCTCTCTCTCTCTCTCTCTCTCTCTAAGATTCAAAGACAATAATGTAAACTATGCAGGAATAAACGGGAAGTCATAGATAGGTGATCGACTAACTGCTAAACAGCTTCAAAGTTTTCAGATTCAGGTGACTCTCTCTCTCTTTCTATAATTCTCGATAGGTCTACGTATCGATATATATATATATATATACACGAATCGATGAAATACGGAGTAGTTGGTTAATAGAGAAAATCATCAAAAAGAAATTGGAGACAGGATATCCATTGGAATGAGAAGTCTGATGTGCTTTCTGAAAACAACCCAGATTGATTTTATGTGTTCTTTGGGTGATTTTAGAGAATTCAACGGACCATTGGTGCCGTTTTGTAAATTTGGGATATACTTGTCATTTACATACCCACCCGCATACAAATTCAACACTGGTTCTCGGTGGCTTCATGGAGTAGTGGTGGGGGTGATGTGAAAACAGGTAAATCACGTTGTTTCAGGATCAATTGTGTTGAATTCTTTGTTAAAAAAAGTCAAAGAATGGCTACCACTTCCATCAATTTACGTCTAGAGGTACAAGTCATGGGCCCCATTGCCTTTTGAGTAGCAATTCAAAATTTTTTTTATTTAATTTTTTGGTCTTTCCACACACACACACACACACTCAAATCCTTAAAACTTAGTATTTATTTTGGGATCTTCCAAGCAAAGGGGCCTATCTGCTAATATTTGCAACCTATGAGAGAGAGTTTGATTTGGTCTTTCCCCCATTTTACTAAAGAGTGCTACTGAAGCTACAAGTGGCAGAGTTAGATTTATATGCTCTGTTAATATCTGTTTTTTTCCTGGTTGACTTTTTATTTTTCCTAATTATATCCAACTTGTAGTGATTTTTCAATTATAGTTGTGAAGTTGACTTTAATTGTGTATTCATATTTAAACAAAGAAATGCAGATTTTAGAAGCAACGCAGCACATTCTTGATTAGTTAAGGAAACCCAACTTTCCAGCTGTATAGCCCTTTATTTTTTATTTTATTATTCAATTTAAAGCTTGCAAAATCCAATTTTTCGTCCTGAAATTTCCCTTCTTTCATTCCCTTCTTTGCTTTATGGGTATAAATCAGATAAGGAGTTGACAATCTTGAATCAATGTTCTTTATATAAAATTTCAAGAACAATCTAGTTGTGAATTTATAATTGTTTTCTAAAAAGTTGCCAAAAAATAAAAAATAATCTTTTATGGGCTTGTGTCCAGCACTTGATGTAGCATGATATGTATTCATAATTGTTTCCTAAGAGTATTACCCAAGAAAAAAAAATTGGTAGAAAGTTTATACTTCATATTATATGTCACACCTTGTGCGGTACCCTATTTCTTGTCAAAGGTATAACACCATGCCTCTACGCACGGGTATCATGGAGTTTTTTTATATTAAGAGCAGAGAGCTACCACTATATACTATTTCTGAATCTGATTTATGATGTTCACATCATGCAGGTTGTAAAGTGAGAGTTTGCAGGTTGTGATTTGTTTGGGATTGTTTTGGTGCAAAATGGCCTCCAATGGCACAGTTAAATGTCCATCACCCATGAAGCCTACCTCTAATGGGGTCTTCCAAGGAGACAATCCTCTTGACTTTGCACTTCCTCTTGCTATCCTACAGATATGCCTGGTGGTTGTTCTCACGCGAGGTCTTGCAGTTCTTTTAAGGCCATTAAGACAGCCTCGGGTTATTGCTGAAATTGTTGTAAGTTATTATGTCCTTTTATTTTCTTGTTTACTCACATGTGGTTCCTGTAGATGCCACAGTTCACAAGAGATAATCTCTAATATCTGTTAAGTCTATATTCTCACCTAAAACTTTACTGTGGAAAGTCCTTTACACCATTGTTTTCGTCTTCTCTAGCTCACATCTGCACCAGAAAGTCTTGGTAATTCTTTTTTACCCATTTTAAATTAAACTTCACCTTCTCACCAGATGATCTCCATGGATATTATTAATCTGATTCAAGTGTTTAGGTGTATAGTTTGAGAACACTTTTTATCTATGTAATGCGTTTACTTTGCATCTTGAAGATAATTTTTATAGAACTATGGTATGATAAATATCTTTAGTGGAACTTTTCTTTTTTCTTTTTCATTCTATGTTCTTTTTCATTCTAAGTGGTGATGGACTTTTGATATTTTATTGCTTAAACAAAACCAAGCACTTCCAACATGCTATCTTGGTTCATTGATAGTAGTATTAAACAAAACCAGTGGTCATCACCAGCATGCTATCTTGGTTCACTCAATCAGACCTCATCACTCTCATCAACTTATTATAAAACATGAAAAATAAAAATAAAGAAGTTGAACAGAAATTCAAGAAAATTTCTAGGGATGAAGAGTATATGGAATTATGTTGTGATCAGGGGAGATGGGATCAGTGAAAATTTGAAGCCATCAATTTATTTATTTTTATAAAGAGAATGGATTTTTTTTGGTCAACAGTTTGTAGAAGTGCAATACTTGGACAAAGGTTCTGAAAACTCTGCTGTGGTGGTCATACAGGTCATTTTATAGTGTTTCTGGGAAATTTTCTGTAATATTCAAGGCCTGATATTGTTCTGGCGAGCTCACAATCCAAATATGTTTCCTCACCTTGTTAAGAAAATTTAGATACAGGACATGCCACGGAAAATCTAGAATATGTTTGTAATACCAGAGCAAAAGCATCAATCCTATATAAGCAACTTATGTATATTTCCAAATGTAAGAAAATAAATTTTCTTTTGACGTTCTAATCATGATGATCGACACATCACCATACAATCGCCTGTACCCTTCTTGAAATTTCAATTTACATTGAAACTAAGCTACAGAACTTGGGAGCAATAATTTCAATGTTTTTATTCTTTGGTGTGTGAACTAGAAATGCAGAATTGATTTCATTGTATTTATGGATTCTAAATAATAAATACTATGTGGCACTACCGGTAAACAATTTAGTCTGTTGCAGTGACATAATGAGTTTCATACTGGAGAAAGAGCTATGAAAATGAGGTTGTCTTCTGTGTGTGTGGGTCTTTCTAATATTTTTATAATTCTGGGCAAACATATGAGACTTGCAAGTAGCACGGAGAACTAAATCTGTTGCTCTTTTCTAGGGGGGTGTTTTACTTGGTCCATCAGCTTTGGGTCGCAACCAGAAGTATCTGCAGACGATTTTTCCACCCAGGAGCCTCCCAGTATTGGATACATTAGCCAATCTTGGCCTCCTTTTCTTTCTGTTCCTTGTAGGCCTGGAGTTAGACCCAAAATCCCTTCGTCGGACTGGAAAGAAAGCTTTGAGCATTGCCGTTGCAGGAATTAGCTTGCCTTTTGCATTAGGAATTGGTTCATCTTTTGTTCTTCGAAGAACCATTTCCCAAGGTGTAAGTGAAGCCCCCTTCCTTGTATTCATGGGGGTGGCCCTTTCTATAACTGCCTTCCCTGTTTTGGCACGCATCTTGGCTGAACTCAAGCTTTTAACCACTGATGTTGGTCGAATGGCCATGTCCGCTGCAGCAGTCAATGATGTGGCTGCATGGATTCTACTTGCTCTTGCCATTTCCCTCTCTGATACTGGAAATTCTCCCCTTGTATCATTATGGGTCTTCCTGTGCGGCTGTGGTTTTGTCATTTGTTGCATACTCATAGTCCCGCGTATCTTCAAATGGATGGCGCAACGTTGCCCCGAGGGTGAGCCATTGGATGAAATGTATGTTTGTGCCACTTTAGCAGCTGTTTTAGCTGCAGGATTTGTCACTGATTCTATTGGAATTCATGCCCTGTTTGGTGCTTTCGTGGTTGGAATTCTTGTACCGAAGGAAGGGCCTCTTGCAGGTGCTCTTGTGGAAAAAGTTGAGGATCTCGTCTCTGGTCTGTTTCTTCCACTGTACTTCGTCTCAAGCGGATTGAAGACCAATGTAGCCAGCATCCAGGGGCTTCAATCTTGGGGACTCCTTGTTTTGGTCATATGCACTGCATGTGCTGGGAAGATTCTCGGCACTATTGCAGTCTCACTTTGTTGCAGACTGCCATTTCGGGAGGCTCTTGCTCTAGGGTTTTTAATGAATACTAAAGGCCTGGTGGAGCTCATTGTTCTCAATATTGGGAAAGACAGGGGGGTGAGATCCTTATGCTTGCCATTAATGATTAACAAAGTCAACATGCTTGATTATTGATCTTATGTGAATTTAATTAGTACATCCTTATTCATGCAAGTGATTGATTTTGCAGGTATTGAATGATCAAACATTTGCCATTATGGTTCTGATGGCTCTTTTCACAACCTTCATCACTACACCTTTGGTTATGGCAGTATATAAACCAGCTAAAAGAATGGGCGGGGCTGATTACGTCCACAGAACAATTGAGAGGAGAGATCCAAGTACTCAACTCCGGGTGCTGGCATGCTTTCACAGTACAAGGAACATTCCGACTTTGATAAATCTCATGGAGGCTTCTCGTGGTACTGACAAGAGGGAAGGACTTTGTGTCTATGCAATGCACCTCATGGAGCTCTCCGAAAGGTCTTCTGCTATACTAATGGTCCACAAGGCAAGAAAAAATGGGCTGCCCTTCTGGAATAAGGGACAGCATTCTGATACCAACCAAATTATTGTTGCTTTTGAGGCTTTCCAACAGCTCAGCCGAGTGTCTATCCGACCAATGACATCAATCTCACCAATGTCTAGCATGCATGAGGACATCTGTGCTAGTGCGGAGAGGAAAAGGGCTGCCATGATAATTCTCCCGTTTCACAAGTATCAGAGGTTAGATGGACAACTGGAGACTACTCGGATGGATTTTAGGCATGTCAACCAGAGAGTTCTTGAGCATGCACCATGTACAGTTGGTATCTTAGTAGACCGTGGGCTTGGTGGAACAACACACATATCTGCAAGCAACTTGGACTCAATAGTAACTGTTTTATTCTTTGGGGGCCATGATGATCATGAAGCTCTTGCTTATGGTGTGCGCATGGCTGAACACCCTGGCATCAGTTTAGTTGTTATTCATTTCATAGTAGTTCCCACGATTGTTGGAGAGAATGTCAGTATTGACGTGGACTCGAGTTCAGATTCTGCGGCTCATTCTCTGCCTGCTCCAGTGCAGCAGCAAGCGAGTACTGCTGAAGCAAGGTCGGGGGATGAAAAATTTCTTGATGAACTCAAGGAGAAGACTTCAAAAGAGATCTCAATCAAGTATGAGGAGAGAGCAGTGAGTGATGCTGCAGAAACAATTGATGTAATACACGAGTTCAGTAAATGCAGTCTGTTTCTTGTTGGAAGAATTCCTGAGGGTCAGTTAGTTTCAACTTTGAACGGAAAGGGCGATTGCCCAGAACTGGGGCCTATAGGCAGCTTCTTGAGCTCACCAGATTTCTCAACTACAGCGTCGGTTTTGGTGGTGCAAAAGTATAGCAGCCAATCTCCTTCACATTAATTGGCTTTGCTGAAGGAAGAAGTCTCACCCGAGGATGATTACGAAAACCACTGTTTTTTTTTTCAGAATTAGATGTGTAGCACTATGCAAAAAGTAGTAAGACGATCGTGCAATTTGTTTTTCATTTCACTCCATGTATGAATTACAAATTTAGAAGTAATAAAATTGTCACAGCATGACCTTTTAAATTTCTACTCTAGACATGCTTTTGATTTTTATTGTTGTAAATCTCAGAATTGGCCCCTATAAAATTGTCTGGTATTAGCTTTAGAGCTTGGGCTTAATTTATACATAATCTCCAAAATTATATTTGTTAATAGTTTATTTTATATTATTTTATTTAAGCATGATGTTTTTGAGTTTTTCTAAGTTTGGTGAGTTTTATGAAAAAACTCAAATCTAACAACTAAGGAGACCCTTACTATTTGGGCCAGAACTTTTAGATCGGATACCAAATTAAATCAAGCCCACATGTTTTGAAAAACATAGTCGTAGAAGGATGTGTTTGTATTTCATAAAGAAACCCTGTATATGATGTTTAAGGGAAAAAATCGCGTACCACATCGGAATGGCATCAAATCTGTCTGCATGACATCGGAATGGCATCCAATCTGTCTATATGAAATCAACGGCTTAGAAAGATAATTTGAAACCCAATATATTTGTATTTCACGAAAATTTTGTAAATCACACTAAAAATCAGTCAAATTGGATTCACAGCAATTATGGAAAGAAGATTTTGGCAAATATTTGTTTCCTTTCTATGTCTTCTTTTGATCTCTATCTAAAAATAAGTATGAGCAACAGAGGACGAGATATAGAAAAATAGAGATGATTGGTGGCTACTGGGCGGCCCTAGCTCAAGGCGGTTGCTTAGAGCCTCAACATTTAGAGGGCCTCAAAAAAAAAAAAAAAAAAAAAAAATTTATAACCCTTCGATTAAACGAATTCACAGCCCATTCAAAATTAGGGCCCTTAAAAATTTGGTGATTAAATTCGAAATTCAATATGACCCTTTAGAGCATCTCCAATAGGGATGTCAATTTTTACCGCCCCACCGGGGCCCCGCCCTATTCCGCCCCGTTAATAACGGATGTAGGAACACTTTTTATACCATTGGGGCGGGCATGGATACAAATTTTGTATCCGTCGCGGGTCACGGGGCGGGTAAGGGTTTAGTATACATATCCTAGGGGCCCCACCCCGCTAAGCATATAACTATATTTAATATATATATATGTATATAATATTAATAACTTATTTTAGCGGCTTACCCAGTTACCCATTTCTTACAATCCTAATTTGGGATGTAAACTTGGTATTAAATTTGCTTTTGTTTTGGTTATGGTGGAAGTTGGAGCTTAGAACTTCTTGTAATTTGGTTGTATTAAACTTTTATTTTTGTTTATTATATTCTCTGAATTATGTTATGTGCATGTTATTTTTTTATTTTTGTTGGGATACATAATTTCATTTATGTTGTGTCATTCCCAGGCTTTCCACATTTAAATAGCATGAGCTTAAGTTCCAAAAAGTGGGAGAAAAAAATTTGTTAGCGGGGCGGGCACGGGGGCACAGTATTTCCCAACGGGGCGGGACAGTACATGAAAATCTAACCCGTCGCGGGTCTCGGGGCGGGCATGGACTTGACAAAAATTAAAAGGGACAGGGCGGGATTTAGGGAAACCCGCTCCAAACCCGTCCCGTTGCCATCCCTAATCTCCAATGCTAAATGTCATTTTTGCATGCCAAATGTATATTTTGAAAGGAGTTACAGTATCAAAATGCTGTATTTTAACAATTCTGCTCCAATGATGTATTTCATCCAAAATGCTATTTTTTGACACAATAATTATTATTTTTCAATTATCATTCTTAATTACAATTTTCAACAATCTTTTTTTTTTTTTTTTTGGTGAGTGTTTGTATTTTATTTAGCTTATTAAAAATAAATAAATAAAAACACTAACATATATATATATATATATATATATATATATATATATATATATATATACAAGCATAACAAATATATACATATATATACACACAACACTGACATATATATATACACACACTAGCACAACTGACATATATATACACATAAGCACAACACCAAATTGGCAGCCCATGCGAGAGAGAAGAGAGAAGGAAGAGACCATTTGCAGATTTGGCAATAGCTATATGTTGTGTTATATTTGGCACAATATTTGACAAAATTATATTTTGGCAACCCCTTTGACATGCCATTGGAGAGCCCATTTTAAACCCATATGCTATATTTTGAAAATAGCAGCCCACTAGAGTTGCTCTTACTACTTTATGTGTATGTTAAATGTGAGGTCCTTTAATTACTGAAATACACACTAAGTTCGCCTAAGACCTCTCAAGATTTTGTCAATCTCAGAGCCGAGTTGCTCTTACTACTTTATGTGTATGTTAAATGTGAGGCCCTTTAATTACTGAAATACACACTAAGTTCGCCTAAGGCCTCTCAAAATTTTGTCAATCTCAGGGCCGGTCCTACTGGCTAAGGAACAGAAAGAGGAGGCTACTGGAATAAAAGATCTTCTACTTATGATTCTAGGGTTGATTGTTCTTGTTTTATTTTTCATGAGTTCTAATCTCTCGATCAAGGCTAAGAGGTAGTCCTTAGTCATGTAACTTGATAGTTTTTCAACTGTTCAGTTTGTTGGATGTTCTTATTTAATAACTAAAATCTTATTCTCTATATTTGAATGCATGTTTTAATTAACTTGATTTTATGTGCTTAATCAAGACTGAAATTAAATTTATTCGAACTCTAGCATGTAGGTTACTTGTGTCTGACATGAACTTGTAACATTCACAAGGATATTTGAGAAGAAGATATAAATTATAATTATTTATGTTGTAATTTATGTGCTTTATTTCAATTATTTATTTATGATTCGTGAAAATTATTTAATTGAATCTTATGCGAGGATAAATCGTTTATGAATTTAATCGAAAATATTATATTGAATGTGCGAATATTAAATTAGATGTTTAATAAATTTGCAATTGAAAATAGGAGTTACATTGATTGGTGGTGAAATCCAAGCCTAGGAGTTACATTGATTGGTGGTGAAATCCAAGCCTTGATACTTATTTCTCTTGTCTCCGTATTAATTTCATTATTATTTTAAAATTGAATCACCCAATTTTTGTCCAATTAGTTAAATAATAGTTTTATAATTGATTTGTCCTAATCAGTTCTCATTGGATTGACCTCGTTCTTGCATGTCTAAACTTCAATATATTCATGCGCTTGCGGGTTACTTTTTAAAACAATAGATTCATGTGTTTGGGAATTGCTTGTGAGTCCCTGACAACGGCGTTAAAAACTTGATATTGTTTTAAAAAGTAACTTGCAAGCGCACGAAACTATTGAAGTATAGACATGCAAGAGCGAGATCGATCGCACGAGGACTGATTAGGACAAATTAATTCTAAAACCAGTCTTTAACTAATTCGACAAAAATTGGGTGATCCAATTTGAAAAGAACAATGAAATTAATACGAAGACAGGAGAAATATGTACGAAGGCTTGGATTCCACCACTAACCAATATAACTCCTATTTTTAATTGTAAATTTATTAGAATTTTAATTCAATATTCACACATCAAATATAATATTTTCGATTAAATTCATGAACGGTCTATCCTGATCAGACATAGATTCAATTAAATATTTATCACGAATCATAAATAAAAAATTGAATGAAAGCCTATAAACTACAACTATTTATCGATGGTTAGGCATAAATAATTATATTTTATATCTTCTTTTCAAATAACCTTATATAGATTACATGTTCATGGTCAAACACAAGTAACCTATATGTTAACGTTCAAATGCATTCAATTGAGCACATAAAATCAAGTTTATCAAAATATGCATTCAAATATGAAGAAGAATATTTTATTTATTAAATAAGAACATTCAACAAACTTAACAGTTAAAAAACTATGAAGTTACATGATTAGGGATTCCTCTCAACACTGAGAGATTAGAACTCCAAAAAAAAATAAAACAAAAACAATCAAATCCCAAATCATTAAGTAAAAAGTCTTGTATGATTTTTCAGCCAATTACATTGGACATGTTTCTGCATTTGCAAAATCTTGAACAGTCATAGTTGAGGTTGTATATATCCAATAAATTTTAATTGATTTTGAACTTTTTTTACATGAAGCCTGATTTATTATTTTTTCGTTAATTATCATTTAATTTTATTAATTTATATTATTATTATTTTGTATATATATATATATTTCATATATTTGTATATTTTAACCAAAATTAAATACAAGAATCTAACTAGTAATTTTGCATTTCACAAAACTTAAAAAAAAAATGATTTCTTGTACTTTTGGTCTTATGCTTCAGTGGTTTACACTGTCCTGATATTTCCAAGACTAGTAAGATTGTTGTCAATTGTAATGACCTTAATAATATTTTTTTGTTCTGGTGCCATATATACATATTTAAATTACGTCCAGTTTTCAATGTATACGTGGTCGTTGAGCAAATGTGGGCTTTTATTTTCATACGGTGGTTGGTGAGCTGAAGTTAAAAGCAATTTGTACAATAAATTATAATCTACCAAAATAAGTGTTCCTTTTCTATAATTTAAATTTTTAAGAGAATAATTTTTACTATTTTTTTTTTATGGTATTAGTAATAAATAAATTACCTAAATTATCAAATTCAATAAATTATAATCTACCAAAATAAGTGTTCCTTTTCTATAATTTAATTTTTTAAGAGAATAATTTTTATTAATTTTTTATCGTATTAATAATGAATAAATTACCTAAATTATCAAATTTATTTATAGTGAATCCATTAGGATGAATGGTTATTTTTTATGACATTTAATTTAGGATGGGCGAGGTAATATAAAAATGTAGAAATATGTAAATGGGCTTGGAGGGTGATCTACCAAACTCACAAAGGCCCAAGATCAAAATATGATCCAGGGAAGCAGCCCATTCACGATTTAAACTTAAGTTACATAAAATGAAAGTGAGAACATAAGAGCAATAAAATTATGTCATAAATAAATATAATTTGAGCGAAAACCAGAGAGCATTTGAAACGTGAAAGCGACACATGTTAAAAAAGATTGTATGACTTATGTTTGGATACAAAACCCTTTTTTTTTTTTTTTTTTCTTTTTTATACCAAAAAAAATAAATAAAATTCCCCCCTCTTGCTAATAATCTTTACACGATTATATGCGACAACATGCCACTGTCTTATCGTATGGCGCTGCATGCAAACCATCACAAGCTTTTAGGCATGCGTCCGAGTGTGTATATATATATATCTCGACACACACATCTATGCCACCAACCCAGCCCCAATTTATGACATACTGTATGCATATACTTAGATAACCAAATTATCTTGTACTCTCACAAAATTATTTTTTATTTATTTTTATTTTTATGTTTTTTTTTGTTTCGTGTACCCAAGTGTCCGTCCATTATGGAACCGAGGGAGATATATATATATATATTTGTTAATTTAATTTTTTGATCACGTGACAGCAAAAAGTTCGCTATATATGAAGTTGAAGAAGAATGCGTCTGTACATGCATAACACAAACACAGCCATGAAAGGTCTTATTGTAGGAGAGAAACCCTCTTCTTGCATTCTCTTCTTCTTCATCATCTTCTTGTTCCTCCTATCTCTGTCTGCTTTGGCTGAACCCTCAAAATCAATCAAAGCTAAAGAACCATGCAAAAGGCTGGTCCTATACTACCACAACATCATCTTCAATGGCACCAACGTGGCCAATGCGACCTCAGCCAGAGCTACAAATCAGACTAAACTCGGGGAGGATCACTTCCATTTTGGGATGTTGATGGCGTTCGACGATCCGATGACGAAGGACAACCACCTTCTCTCTCCACCGGTGGCAAGAGCTCAAGGGTTCTATCTATATGACATGAAAACCGCATCCAGTGCTTGGTTTTCCTACACTTTGGTGTTCAACTCTAGTGAATATAAAGGTACCATCAACATTATAGGTGCGAACATCATTGACAACGAAACCAGAGATCTCTCGGTGGTTGGTGGGACCGGAGATTTCTTCATGGTACGAGGAATCGTCACCTTTAGAACTGACGCTATAGAGGTTTCCAAGTATTTTCGCCTTCAAATGGATATCAAGTTATATGAATGTTATAATTAATTACACTAGTGTTAGCTTAGACAGGTTGATTTTCAAAACCTTATAATAATAATCTTCCTGTACTAGTGTACTCTACTACTCTATATTATGTTTGAAGAATTAATAATACATCCATCTTTGTCTCATGAAAATTTTATTGTTGCAATTAATTTGTGGACTCTGTGAAATTAATCGGGTGGCACCTACGTATATTACATATTTTGAGGAGAAAATATTTTTGTCCATTTCTAGCATGCTGGTATCTCAAATTTGGTGATGGTGTGTTTTTTCTTGGTGCTTAAAACAAGAAATTAAAGGCTAAGCTGAACTTGAATGTTTGATTCAGTACTATCGTTAATACCTGCAAGTATTGCGAAATTATAACTTTATGACCGTGCCTATCAAGTTAACAAATTTCTCAATTTCAAAATCAATTTTCTTACGCTTAACAAATAAATATCTTATTTACTTAGTTCTTTATTTTACAAAATAAAATTATTAAAAAAAATAAATTCAAACAGTTTTACATATGTATGAATATTTTACCAAAGGCCCAATTTAATGGGTTTAAGCCCAAAATCCGGTTACAATTGAAATACAACAGCCCAAATGGTTACAAAAGGGATGGTCCATAGTTTGAAATATAGCCGCTAGGCATTCACTAATTATACCTTTTAAATTCCATTTTCAGATAATAATTTTTGTTCCTAAATATCATTTTATTAAATGATTAATTCTCTATACCATGCTGTCCCAACATTTATTTGATATGTCATCTTTGCTGATATTACAATCATAATATTTTCAGCCTCATCAAATGGAATGGATCTGCATTGGTCTATTTTATTAAATTCTCAATCAACTAGTTAAAGAAAAAATAGTACGGATTGAGTTTGACAAGAGAAAAAAAAAGGGTTGATTGTATTTACTACAATTTAAGTTTCAATATGTTTTTAGGTCCTTTGTTCAATTCGTGGTTGTCGATCAAATTTTTTTGTTAGTTGTTGCTCAAATACAATCTATATTCATAATATTAAGGCACAATTTTGTAAGGTGATGAATTCGACCCTGTTTTTAACCGGTAGGAATTCAGAAGGTAAATCCTTAGGCCTCATTTTCGAACCGTACTCTTAATTTGAATGGGGTGTGTGTGTTGTGGGGCCATACACGTGCTCTAAACTGTACAAAAGCCAAGATGTGAGAACTAGTCAAAGATAAGACCAAACTGAAATACATGGCAAGCCCATGCAGCCTAAAACAATTCATGATGTGAGCCTTTTATTTTCAGCCTGGCAAGTAAGCAGATTTCCTTTTTAATTTTGTGGGTAGGGTGAAGCTATTTATTCTTATATGGTCCAATAATAACATAACACATTACCTTTAATAATAAAATAATTCACAACTTTCTCTGTTTTCTCGGATCAACCATTGAATAAAAATATATAGTATTTTTAGATGTGATGTGTTAATTTGTTATTTGGAGTACATAGAGGTGAGTAGCTTCACTCTATTCACCAGTGAGTAGCTAAGTATTATCCTTTGAAAATTAAGACTATAACCATAAATAAGGCATTATTGAGTGGCTTACTTGGTAGGACGTCTACTTATCTAAGTGAATTTGTCTATGTTTGAAAAAATTTAGTTGTTATTGTTGTATATATGGTAGTTAATTTATTTCATATTACATGATACAGTAATATTTTGAATTACTATACTTCGATGAATTCAGAGACTCTGATAATATATTGTACATGATTTCGAAATTTGTTTGTTGAATCAATTTTGGGTTTTAATTAATATATGTTATGATAATTTTAGATTAGACCATCCTACACTTTTACTGAATTACAAATGCCAAAATATGATAGGATGGAAGATACAATTAAAATGATAACATTCGATTAAATTTAAATGTATTGCTTAAATTGAAAATATGACAAGAGACAACATATCACTGTCTTAGTTAACCACTGTCTTAGTTAACTAATGGGTAAATTGTACCAATCTCTCCTATAATGTGTTATAATTATAGAAATTTCCTCTGTAGTTTACACGAATCTCTTTTAAAAATGAAATTAATTTATATGGACCTCCCCTGATGGACCGTCAAATGGACTAATAAATTTGTTTAATTTACTAAAATGCCCTCAAATTATTATAGTAAATGACTTATATACCCTCAATAGAAATAGAACGGGGCAAAAAAAAAATCTCAATGAGTGGCTTCAAGGTAACTTGAATTTCAAACTTTTAAGCTGTGAGGTGAAATGTTTACCATTAGACTACATATTCTCTTAAAATTATCTTACAAAATTAGAATCAGTATTATTATTAAGCATTCAATGATATGGCGATCTTTAACTATGTTGCATCATTTGAACAAAGAGTCATGATACGGGACTGAAGCTTAAGCCATTTGGATCTCATGTGGTATGCAAGAACTCTGACATTCTTCCTTACCTAATCTTATTTGTTCAGAACCTTCCCCCTCCGAATTTAATGTGAGATAATATAGAACTCTTAACATTCTCTTTTAATCAAATTCGTAACGTCCTCGTTGAAATTGTAGGCACTTAATATGACACTGATTCAAAAATTGAACCTGACTTTAATACCATTTGTCACGTACATACGTGTGACTAGTGTTTTATAATCTTATAATAATGTCCATGACCCTCAATATTCGAATCCCACGTGAAATAACATGACATTTAAACTTATAGAACTAAACTAGTTCTTATTGACTGATCGAAGACTTTGAAGCCTTAGATTAGAGAAAGGAGGGACCATTTGAATGCATCCCACATGGGATGCATAACTCTACATCCATAGCTAGATGTGAGCCCAAACGCTATTATGTGGTGGGACTACTCAATAATACCTCCTAAACAAACTTATTGTTACATGTTCCCATAAAAAAAATGGTAAAAAGGTTTCTATATAAAGCTGAAGTAGGATGGCTCTCTGCACAGCACAGCCATGAGAGGTGTTGTAGAGAAAACCTCTTCTTGCATTCTCTTCTTCTTTTTCCTCCTCCTATCTCTGTCTGCTTTCGCTCAGGCGAAAGTTATCAAAGCTGATGAACCGTGCAAAAAGCTCACACTTTACTACCATGACATCCTCTTCAATGGGACCAACGTGGCCAATGCGACCTTAGCCAAAGCTGCAAATCAAACTAAACTTGGGGACAAAGTTTGGCATGTTGGTTGTGTTCGACGATCCCATGACAAAGGACAACCACCTTCTGTCTCCTCCGGTGGCAAGAGCTCAAGGCTTCTATTTTTATGACATGAAAACCACATACAATGCTTGGTTTGCCTACACTTTGGTGTTCAACTCTACTAAATATACATGTACTGTTATGAAATAAGGATCGAATAGAAGTTTATGAGAACAAAAGAAAAATAATGTCAAGAAAATAAATAGGCACACACAAACAAGAGAAGGATTTATACGTGATTCACCCTCACAAATAGAGTTACGTCCACGGGCGATGATGAATCGTATCACTATAAAGAAGAAGATTACAAACTGAAGAATGTTTTGGTTCTTCCTCACAATAATCTCTCTTCTCCCTCTACTCACTCAACACTCAAGAAATACCCCAAATAGTATATAGTTTACACAAAGAATAAAACCCACCCAAATACAAACTTCAACTCTCTCTTGAAGATTGTTCACACAAAAAGATTTTCTCACACACACAAAACCAATATATTCTCTTGATCCGAATATTGTCTTACTCTTAGGTGCCTCTCGGATGCCTTTCATCAAATATGTGCAAGGCTATATAGAGCCCAAAAATACTTGGTGTCAAAGTATATTTCAAAGCTTCCTTTGGAAGCCAAATGACACTTGTTGCCCAAGAATTATTCTTGCTGCCCAAGAATTTCAAAGCTTCCAAAAGGAAGCTAATTTGGAAGCTTCACCATCACACTTTTGTAGCCAAAAGATTTTTGCCACGTCATAAATAAATTTTAGACAAATTTACAACAAATCTCCACCTTGACTAAAATTCTCCACCCTAGCAAAAATTTCGAATGAGTCACAAAACTCTATCCTTGGCAAAATTTCTCCGCCTTAGTAGAAATGATAAAACAACATCATAAAGAGTCTTTTTTCAACACAATGTGAGAAATAAAAAATAACACCATCATCATTTCCAACACAAAACAAATTAATAAAGAATTTTAGTTAAGTTTGAGTCATCCTCAAACTTAACCCTCGGGCTTTCATTCTTCAACCCATGCATGTTTTGCACTGCCACAAGCATACCTCCAGTATTTGTGTCAAACTTTAAATGCTTACCAAAAGCAACCTTAGAAAGTTCAAGTTTGACATCTCGTTCAACAACCTTCTCCAATCGCCCACAAACCATCGGCTGGTAATGAAAAATCATCTTCTCACCCTTGTGGAGAATAGGACGCCCTTGACTTTTCCTCGCATTTCTGTTGTGACCAACTACTTGCCTCCCACGCATCTTAATGGTACTCGAATGGACCATCTTATTGCCACCAAGATTATTGCAAGTAAATATCCCACATGTCCTCATGGGTCTACCTCCCTGTAAGGACTGCTGCAATTTCAGTTGCCATCTGAAAATAGATTTTATTTTCCCACCACGTTATGTAGTCCCCTCACAACCTTTTTGAGAACTAGGATTGTAACTCCTCTTTCTAACTCTTCCTTTGCCAAAACCTTGCTGGGTGAGCAGAGCCTGCATCTTAATCTCGTATTTTGTCAACATCTCAAAAATTCCCCAAAAAATTACTTGGTGAATAGTACCGTATTTGTGAACAGTACCCGAATAATATCTGTGAACAATACTGTATGTGTGAACAGTATCTGTACACAATACACGAACTCGAGTTCTGATACCAATTTGTTATGAAATAAGGATCGAATAAAAGTTTATGAGAACAAGAGAAAAATAATGTCAAGAAAATAAATAGGCACACACAAACGAGATAAGAATTTATATGTGATTCACCCTCACAAATAGGGTTATGTTCACGGGCGATGATAATTCGGATCACTATAAAGAAGAAGATTACAAACTGAAGAACGTTTTGGTTATTCCTCACAATAATCTCTCTTCTCACTCTACTCACTCACTAACAAAGAAGACTCACTCAACACTTAAGAAATACTCCAAATAGTATATAGTTTACACAAAGAGAAAAACCCACCTAAATACAAACTTTAACTCTCTCTTGAAGATTGTATACACAAAATGATTTTCTCACACACACAAAACCAATATACTCTCTTGATCTGAATATTGTCTTACTCTTAGATGTCTCTCGGATGCCTTTCATCAAATGTGTGCAAGGCTATATATAGCCCAAAAATATACTTGGATCTTCAACTCTCTCTTGAAGATTGTATACACAAAATGATTTTCTCACACACACAAAACTAATATGCTCTCTTGATCTGAATATTGTCTTACTCTTGGATGTCTCTCGAATGCCTTTCATCAAATGTGTGCAAGGCTATATATAGCCCAAAAATACTTGGTATCCAAGTATATTTCACAGCTTCCTTTGAAAGCCAAATGACACTTGTTGTCCAAGAATTTCAAAGCGTCCTTTGGAAATTAATTTGGAAGTTCCACCATCGTACTTTTGTAGTCAAATTTTTTTTTACCATATCATAAATAAATTTTAGACAAATTTCTACCAGGTACCATTAATATAATGGGCGCGGACATGATGGACGACGAGACCAGAGATCTCTCGGTGGTTGGTGGGACTGGCGATTTCTTCATGGCACGAGGAATTGCGACTTTTAGAACTGACACTTTTCAGGGTGCGAATTATTTTCGGGTTCAGATGGATATCAAGTTGTATGAATGTTATTAATTAGTTGGTTTTTTTTTTTTTTTTTTTTTTCGTCACTGTTATATTTAGGTAGTCTAAATGTGCTTTTCCAGTACTGTTTTGATGCTTGTGAGCATGTGCTGAATAATTAATTAAAATCTTGTGTTTTGTTCAATTTTCAGAATCCTTAGGATATATATGATAATCTTCCTATATTTTATTATATAGTATGAAAATCATATTGTTCCAAGCTTGCATTAATTTGCAGAGTCTGAAAATTAGTCTGAATTTGTCATTAATATCAGTGGCACCTTTACTATGGTGAGGAGATTAATATATGATTTTTTTTTTTTTTTTTTTTTTTGGGGGTCTTAAGGAACAAGTCTCACAATGTTCTTGTGAAGACTCAAATCTTCTATTTTTCATTTCAAAAGGGAAAGAAATGTGGCGGTTTGACTTGGCTATTTTCACAAAACCTTATGCCTACATCATGAATGGAGTTACCCACAGCTCAGTGGGGTGTCCACCGCTAATTTTTTTGTTTTATGTTAAACACTAAGAATCTTGCTAAAATTACAGTAATGCCTCACTCAATGTTTGGTAAAGCCTCGTTATTATGTTATTTGGACCCCCAATATATATATATCTTACTAAAATAATTTTAAAACTTTTTCTTTTGTTTTTTTGGGTCAATTTGGGGTGGTTTGAGTAACCTATTTTATACTTCCTCTTTATGTCACAAAATAGCAAATGCCTTCATAGTTCAAGCGCTTTCTACTGTCTTTGAGAGTTCAGCTTCCACCATTTACACCCCCTTTCCACTAACCATTAACCCCTAACATTTTTGTCATGAAAAAAATAATAATAAATATGTCATAAAATAATTGTCTTTTTTCTTTTTTTTTTTTCATGCACCAAAAATAAAAGTTCCCTTTTCATGGTTTAAACTTTCTAAAATTATCTTTAAATTTTGAAAATTTTCCTAAAACTAGACACACAAAAATATTGTATGTATTTAAGGCTAATTGTGGAATTTTAAAAGTTTAAAAAAAAATAAATAAATTGAAATCCAAATGCTTCAATTGTTTTGGAGTGAGGGAAAAAAATTATAAGGCATCCAAGGATACAATGTCATTACGTTAACATGGCATCTAGACTATCTAGTTACCCAATGGACAGTTTTTCAGTCCATCCCTATCAAAAGTGGTTAAAATTTTGCTATATAAAGAAAGCTGATGAAGAATGGCTCTGTACAAAAGCCATCAGAACCATGAGAAATCTAGTTGCGAAACCCTCTTCTTGCATTCTCTTCTTCTTCTTCCTCCTCCTCCTATCTCTGTCTGCTTTCGCTCACGCGAAAGCTATCAAAGCTGATGAACCGTGCAAAAAGCTCACACTTTACTACCATGACATCCTCTTCAATGGGACTAACGTGGCCAATGCGACCGCAGCCAAAGCTGCAAATCAAACTAAACTTGGGGACTTCAAGTTTGGCATGTTGGTTGTGTTCGACGATCTCATGACAAAGGGCAACCACCTTCTGTCTCCTCCGGTGGCAAGAGCTCAAGGCTTCTATTTCTATGACATGAAAACCACATACAATGCTTGGTTTGCCTACACTTTGGTGTTCAACTCTAGTGAACATAAAGGCACCATTAATATTATGGGTGCAGACATTATGGACGACCAGACCAGAGATCTCTCAGTCGTTGGTGGGACCGGAGATTTCTTCATGGCACGAGGAATCGTCACGTTTAGAACTGACACTGTTCAGGGTGACAATTATTTTCGCCTTCAGATGGATATCAAGTTGTATGAATGTTATTAATTATTCTAGGTTTAATTTGCTTTAGTCTAAATATGATCCTGTCTGTTTAATGGCCTAATTGATAGAGCGTCTAGCTTCTCCGGTGTTTTAGGAATTTTTTTTTTAAAAAGATGTACTGAATCACCTTAGGATATCATAATCTTCATGTATTCTATTATATATTAATTATCTTTCAAGAATTTAAATAACACATATTTGCCTGATGAGAATCATATATATTGCTTTCTTTAATTTGTGGAGATAATGTATAACTTGGCCCATATCTTATTTTTGTCACTTTCTAGTGTGTGTTATTTTCAAAAACCCTGTGCCTACCTACCATACACCTGCGTATATGGAGTTTTTTTTAGGTTCTCAAATTTGGTGAAGAAGTGCTTTTCTTGGAGCTTAATTAAAACAAGAAATTAAGGGCTAATCGGTTCAATTTAAAGATGATGAATTTGATTCTTTGTTTTGTTTTGTGTTTCTAACCAAACATGCATCAAAATTCAAATACAACAAAATAAGATCATCTATAAGCCAAGTTGACTTTTAATCACTTCTTTACTGGATTCATAATGGACAAACTTTTTTTTTTTTTTTGGGTAAAAATTAAAAAATAAAAATAATTTGCTACACCTGTATTGTTTTTGCTTAGGATACTTTGCTTAGCTTATGTTTATTCATTTTCTTTATATCAGTTCTCATCACTCACCTCATTCAGTGTTAAATCTATAATATATATATCATTAGATTTGAAGTTTATATAAACGTCTACTACTTGCAATGGTCTAGATCAATCAACACCCGTAGTGGATGATCGAAGAAACTGATCGAGAATGAATGAAGGGACAAGGAATGACGTTGCCTTACTACAACATAATTTATGTAATGCCAATTCTTTGCCGTCCCTAAAATTAAGTTAATTAGTTAAATTTGTCGATTATATATCGATCCGAACATTATGCAAAAGTTGACGTGCAATTTGACAAAGTTGTGTGTAAAAAATAATTAGTTAATTATTATTATTATTATTTTTATTAAACTCCAATACATCCAAACTATCATACTAATTTGTTCTTTTGCACTGACAATTACTACAGAATTTAGCGAACGATGCTTTGTCCTAACGATGCTTTGTCCTAACTTCGTAGCAATCATGCATGTATGAATAACTAAAGCTATATAGACCGTTGAGGATGAAATTCGCGCAGTCCGATATAATATTGTTTTCATACAAGGAAAAGGGCAGAAGATCGATGAACCTTGACGGCACCAGTGTGGCGCCTGTCAAGAGCTCTCCGACGATCAAATTAGTCACGGAAGTCTAAAAAGAAGGCAGGGATTAATAATAGTTTTTACGTCGTACCTTCTTTAATAGCTTGATGTCTTATTTATGGCTGTCGATTGGAATCAAAATCGTTCGGCTGATGTCGATGGTTGACCTTATCTTCCGCTTGTGCGAAATTATAGGAGATTTATTACCAGATTTGTCGGGATATGATTTAATCCTTTTGACCTCCTCGAGTTATAGTAGGATTATTCTTACTTGTTGAACCACATCAGATTTGATTTCATTATCCTTAATAATGAAATCTAATCAATCTTATCGAGGGTAGGGTAGATTTATATTTTTCTCTATCATAAACTATATTATAAATCCATCTAATTTATATATATTGCACTGTTTTGAAAGGTTTTTTTTTTTTTTTCATACTTTTGTTTTAAATTTTTATTATTGTACAAGGAAATTTTATTATTCAATATTACACCCTGGAGACAAGGCTTATAACCGGAGTATTTTGTACAGACTACTTTCTGTCTTTTTCTTTGTTAATTAAACAGAGTTTTATAATATTTTATTTTCAGGACTTTATATATGTGAATTGTGGATCAATGCACAAAACTGAGGTTTAAGCCCATTGAAATTACGTTGCCACTGGCCCACGCAGACCTTTTTAATTTCTTATGGGTTATGCAGCCTATTCTCAAGGGCTCATGTTTTCTTATTTATGTAGTTACCATCGGAAAAATGGACTATTGACTTGACTTTAATAGACTATAAAATCTCATCCTTAATGTATAAAAAACAAATAAATTTAATTTGTATTCTTTAATAGCCTTAGGATGATGTGTAAGTTTTATAGAATTGGAGCTTTAAAATTAGAATATGTGAAATTTAAAAAAATAAAAAAATAAGAAAATTGAATTAAATTTTTTTCAAATTCTTCCAATTTCAATTTCAATGTTCAAATTATGTGCAGTTGAACACAACTTTAATAGAAAGGTCTCTATGAATGCGAGTATTTTTTTTTTTTTTTAAAGAAAAAGAAAAGTAAAGTAAAGGAAAAGGAAAAGGAAAAGGATGTAAGGTATCTGAATTTAATTAAATAAAAAATGATAATCACTCTTACCGAATAGTTTGACTTAGTCAATTCAGTGTAAAAAGAGTTCTTATATATTTGAATTGAAAAAATAATCCATCAATTGACATCAAAAGAAATGACAAATGAAGTCGAAATTGATGCCAGATTAGGACATTGTTCATGTGATACTGGCTTGGATTTCAAACGAATTAGAGTAAAAGATTGGTTCATGAATAGATATAAAATGCTTTAATTAGAATAACAATTCCTACTAAAGAAAGCACTTACAAAGATCTCACCTACCATATAGTAACAAACACTGAATGTCTTTTGAAATATTTGTCATTTGGACTGTATGATGCCACTAAAACCAAAATCAAACACCTACCACCACCAATCCTCGACCAGAATTGAATAGAAAACTTTGGTGAGATAAGAGAATCAGGGGACCATAAATCAAGTTCTTCCATGTGGTCCAAAACTTTAAAATTATTTCTAAGCCAAGTTGAGAATATGGAATATGCTCATAGGTCTTCGTCACAACTTTCTTGGAATAGCTTTATTTGGAAAGATAGTGAGTGTTAAGAAGGTTAATAGTTTTGTAGTCTAGCGTATGATTCGAATGAGTAGATTAATGGGGTTTTTTTTATTATTAATATTTTTATTTTTTTAATATTTTTATTTTTTCACAATCTTGAAAATTATTTTTGGATAACTAAATCAACTACACGGATTCATTTGTTTTCTATTTTAATCACATTTAGTTAACAATATTTAAGTGCGACAATATGAAATACGGCCATTGATTATGATCCTGATCGATCAATTACTAGTTAACATCTAAGTAAAAACACTGACTAGCGATTAGTTTCAAAAGTAATAGTCTGGGGATCACATAATAATTTCTCATAATATATCAACATTCCAATTTGTATAGAATAATCTAATTTGGTCTTTATGCCACCATTCAACCCTCTTTAACAGGAATCACATTATGGTAATGATGATTTTATTTATTTATTTATTTATTTATTATTAATCTTCTTCTATTAGGGTACTTTCAAGTTCTTTTGTATGCCAGATAGTCATTTGTTCTCGATTTGAAAAAAAAAAAAAAAAAAAAAAAAAAAAAAAAAAAAAAAAAATTGTATTGTTGTATGAAAAGATAAAATTTTATTGTTATCATATATCATCGTTAATTAATACATGCCTTCTACTGACTAAATACACGTAATAAGAGGCTAGCTAATATAAATTGTCGAAAAAAAATATAATACTCCCTACGAATTGTAATTTGTACGACTCAACTTTATTAGTTAGCAGATGCTTCGATAGTTCAGTGAATTAGTGTCTCAGTGTATTTTGGAGTATCAGACTTTAACATATACATTTACTAATCTAATTTTTAACACTTCTTGTCTTTTATTTTGTTATTTTTATTATTATTATTATTATTATTGTTTGGAGGAAATTGAAGCAAATGCGTATATATAATGTATAACATGTACAGTGTGAAAAGGCCCAAGAACAAAAGGATCCAATTAGCCCCAAAGCACAAAATAGTTCAAGTTATAAGAACATAAATACCTGCCCAAGCCCAATTCATTTTTTTTTTTTGGGGTACCAAGCCCAATTCATTGAAAATTAGTCTTCTGTAATCATCCTTCAACTAACCGTTGTTAGTAAAAAATCAATTTGTCGTTAGACCCTAACAGTAAGTTCATATGAGGCTAAAGCCTCGATTCGATCCCTTCTTCAGGTGGTGACGGAGGTGGTCGAAACTAGTAAGTCCAACTCATGGTGTCAACACAAAGTCCTTCAATTTTAGGGTTACGAGTTTCTCTTTGACATTGGCAATGATCCTATGTAGGACCTGTGCTTGAGTGAGATGAGAAATGTTTTGAAAGATTCTTGAATTGCGTTCCATCCACATAAGGTAGATCATACTTTCTCTGTTCCTTTTTTTGTTTTTGTTGTCCGCTTCGTAAATTGTGACACACACACATAAAGTAGATTATACTTCCTCCGTCCCTTTTTTGTTGTCCGCTTTGTAAACTATGACTAAGGGAATAACAAAAATCGATTCCCTTTGTTTTTTTCCAATGGTGAGCTGCCCAATTTACAAATGAATTCTAGTTAGGGATATGTAAAATGCACATTTTGATTTGATGACAGCCGATCGATATTGGTTGGATGAATTGGCAAGCAAAAAAGAGATGCGAGTGATTGTCAGTGTCAGCATTGCATAGTGTACAAAGGTTATCAAGCCTGAGATAGATGGCATAATTCTTGTCCATTGTAGTGAAGCTGCTATATATATATGTTTAGGAACATGTGGGGATAGAGATAGAGTGAGAAAGAATAGTTGCGTATGCTTTAAGTGAATTACAGTACCCATTAGAGAGGGACCATATGACGATATCATCATAAGATGGATTATGAGCGCCAATACAATCAGAGCCGATAAACACCAGATTGTATACGACCAAGATGTAGCATATATATCGACCCCACAATACCTCCACAATACACGGAATATTCTAATTTTATTACCGGCTCATTTCATATATATATATATATATTCTACATCAAGAACCATCACTTCAATCCGTACCAAAGGAAGTTAGTAGAGATCAAAGTATCCCATACTACGTACATTGGCTTTATACTGGTTGATTGGCTATTCTTTCTTAACTACCTCCATTAAATAAATTTCCGAACAGGCATGTACATACTCCATTAAAATCTGGAATATGTCCAAATTCCAGATTTTGTGCTACGGTCTATAATTAAGTTGGTCAAGCTTTTTATGGTAGGTGACAAATATGAAGTGGTTAATTGTTAGACGACTTGTTTACTATTTATTAATCTTTTACGAGTATTATTTTTTTATTCTTTTATCTTTCTGCATGAAATTATTGCATGGTTGGTCACAATATTGGTAGATGTCAATATATTTCATAGTACAAATAATGATGGGTCACCTTCTATGGATCGGAATTCCTCAAAATAGGAAAAATCAAAATTGTCACTACTGTATTTTTTTTTTTTTTTTTTTTTTTCTTATTTATCTATTTTTATATTTTTTATCATGACAAATAAAGCACACACAAATTAACCTCTTCCTGGTTTTTTTATTTTTTATTATATGGTATCTCTAAAGTATCACCATGCATGACACAACTAGTACTTGTGAGAGTTGAAGAGGTATTTTTGAATGATAAGAGATTGATTATTAGGTGATGGGTGCTTTCTGCTCTAACTTAAAAACTTAAATTATTAGGTACGTAATACTAACATTTAACTCATATATATTTAATTTTTCATCCGGATTCAACATAGGACAATACATCTCTAATAACTAAATGTGAGGGGAACCTTTAACTTCATTGGAGCTGCGAAAATAATAAAAAATAAACAAATATCGGTTTTCGGAGTGTGACTTAAGTCTTCTTCATAATAAAGGAGAGTTGGGAATTTGATAACAACATGTGCTAATCATTTACACAAGTGATTGTAAAATGAGCTGTTGGGACAATATTTTTGTAGTACTCAAAATTGGTTGAACACGAGTTAGGTTACCCAAACCACACTCTGAAGATTGATGACAGAAAAGATGTAAGTAGCTGCCAACCATGTCAACACAAAAATATTAAGGAGGTTACTAATTTTGTAATTGATTGGGTGGGAGTTAAGTACCAAACTCACAACTATATGTGGATAAACATGATGGAGCTGGTAGTTAGACATGAGGAAATTTGGGTGGTGGCCCTGGTGGTTTAAAAACAAGTAATTATCGTCACAAAAGTGTGTAATCATGTTTAATATTTCTTATGCCTAATCATAAAATGCGGTGAAGAAAATGAAATGAAATTTTATATGGCATCTTCTGTTGCATAGATCTTCAAAAACTATTGCTTAAAAATGTGACTTGCCCACAAATTTGGTTCACTTCTTTTGAGTTTTGTAATGTCATTCATGAGCTAGACAGTCACACAATCAATTGTGTGACCTTATAACTTGATCTGCAATACAGATAATATTTTATATTAATATGAGCCAATCCATTTATAGAGATCGGCATATATGGTCCCCTAGTAAGTAGTAACTAGTGTATCTAATGATTGTGTAAGTCTTAGACTTAAAGCTAACAAAAAGGAACAATATTGACGTGGAGGATAGAAATTTCTTGTGAAGTCATCAAGAAAATTTCTTACAAGTCAAGCTTTAGGACAATTTCATCATAAAATAACACTAACAATTCATTATATAAAGAGATTGGATAATATTATAACCTCCACACTCAGAGCATTTACTTGCTGCATTCTCTAGCAAGCACACTAGCTCAGTAATGGGAACTAAAATTCTGATTTCAGTTCTCTCTCTCTTCTTCCTCATTTTCATATCTTCAGCCTCTCCGAGCCATAAAACCAGGACTCGTCGCCCTTGCAAGAGGCTGGTCTTTTACTTCCACGACGTCATCTACAATGGCAAGAACTCCAAGAATGCCACTGCAGCCATAATAGGGGCACCGGCTTGGGGCAACAAGACCATATTGGCGGGAAAGAACCATTTTGGGGACTTGGTTGTGTTCGACGACCCCATTACACTAGACAACAATCTACACTCGACCCCTGTTGGCCGCGCACAAGGCTTCTACATCTATGACAAGAAAGACATTTTCACTGCGTGGCTCGGATTCTCCTTCGTTTTCAACTCGACGGAGCACAAGGGCAGCATCAACTTTGCTGGAGCCGATCCGTTGATGAACAAAACTAGGGATATTTCAGTGGTTGGTGGAACTGGTGACTTCTTCATGGCTAGAGGGGTGGCCACTTTGATGACTGATGCATTTGAAGGGGAAGTCTATTTCCGGCTTCGCGTGGATATTAAGTTGTACGAGTGCTGGTAACAAAGCTTATTTGTGGCTTATTTTGCAGTGATCTGTGGAATCCTTTCACAAATAATTTTTATCATTAAAAGAGCTTAATAGCTTATTCATTGCAGATTTTAGATATTATTGGGGATTAGTTCATTAAGGCCCCATTTCTTAAGGGTTTTTTTTTTTTTCAATTTGAAGCTAGTTACTGCAAGTCTTCAACTTTGTAATGATAATAACAATTTGATATAGATTTTCTAAGCATCAACCAGTTTGTGGATTATTGTGTTTGTCTTGTGTTTGTATCTGTTTGCAAGGGTGAAAAAAAAAACATTCTCAATTTTTTTTTTTTCTTTGTATAAGTCTTTTTTTGTTTTTCCCTTTAAATGGTTTGCATGGAAAGGGTGTTAGTTGTGAAATGAGACTATCACTATTTAAAATTATGACAAATAAGGCCCCCGATGCTTGAATGCATGCAGGGAACGTCAAGACTAATTATGTAAGTGTGAAATAAAGTTGAGATGAAGAGCACTGAATCGGTAGTTTGAATATGAAATTGGAGAAAATTTAGTATAAAATTCAAATAAAAAAATATCTAATTTCATATTCAAATTACGGATTCAGTGCTCTTTATGAATATGAGTTTTTCTCAATTTTATTTCACACTTACATAGATGATAGTCTTGGCACAAAATTCGAACAAAAAATCATCTAATTTCAAATTCAAATCACCGTGTTCTCTCAAAAGCAACATCAAATAATTGTTTTCAGATTCCAATTGATTTAGAAGCATTGCAAGAAGGGTTCAGAGAAGGAATACTATTTACTGGATTTGAGCAAAAGGAATGGAATGGTGTTATATAGTATGAAGTTTTTGATATCAATGACAAGCGTTTTTTGTCAAACTTAATGACATACTTGATAATTGATATCATGTCAAGAATCTGATTGTTCTAAAATTAAATTCACTATATTACAACAAAGATGTAATACGACAAACCTTATGTGCATCAGTTCAAGAAAACAAAACAAAAAAGAAGAAGAAGAAAGAAGAAGGATTTGCTTATTAGTTTAGTATTTCCCATTAAATTTTTCTCATTGAAAAAGCTTAATAGCTTATTCATTGAAGATTTTAGATATTATTGGGGATCAGTTCATTAATGCCCCCATTTCTTAAGTTATTTTTTATTTTTATTTTTATTTTTTTTTTCCAATTTGAATCTAGTTACTGCAAGTCTTCAACTTTGTAATGATGATAACAATTTGATTTAGATTTTTTAAAGCATCAACCAGTTTGTAGATTATATTTTCAATTTTTTTTTTTTTTTTAATTTGTTTAAGTCCTTTTTTGTTTTTTCCTTTAAATGGTTTACATGGAAAGGGTTTTAGTTGTGAAATGAGACTATCACTATTTACTTGACTTGTTCTATCTGAGGAAATAAAATAGACTCTCAAAACTATGGCAATAAGGGCTCCATGATACTTGGCTGCAGGGGATGCCAAGACTCTCATTTATGTAGTGTGAAATAAAGTTATAAAAAACTCATATTCATGAACAGTATTGATTCGGAACTTTGAATTTAAAAGTAAAAAAAAATTTAGTAATGAAATAGCGATATATAACTAGTCTGAAATTTTTAATATCAATAACAAACATTTTATGTCAAACTTATGAGTTATGACATACTTATAATTGATATCATGTTAAAAATCTGATTATGCTATAACTAAATTCACTACATTACAACAAAAATGTAATACCACAAACCTTATGTGCATCAGTTCAAGAAAACAAAACAAAAATAATAATAATAATAATAATAATAAATAAAAAGAGGAAGAAGAAGAAAGAAGAAGAAAGAATCACAGTATCACCCTCATCGTTGCTCTGTTTATTTTGTGAAATTACCAAAACACCTATATATTTTAGTAAAATATGTTAATTGAATTTTTTGTATTAAATATATAATCAACTTTCTAATTCTCTTAGATTGATTTCTCATTTTGCCCTGAATTCTTTTCAGTAATAAATTAACTGAATACTGAATATACTTTTTTTAAAAAAAAAATTAATTCATTGAAATGGGAAATAAGAACTGGGAGAATTCAAAGAGGAATAGGGATTATGGGTGTGATAACGAAGAATGTTATGCTAAATAGTGATGGGAAGGGCTCATCCAGTTGCCATTATTATAATATACTTAAATAATTTTTTACCTACATTGTGTGTTTGGATGGGATTAACAGAGATAAAATAATAATAATAATAATAATAACAATAATAATAATAAATGATAGGGCCAATGACGCTTGGGAGAGTTAAATTGAGAGAAAAAGATGAAAGGGAGGAATCCCTCACTTGATATAACTCCAGAATTAAGAAGATGGGAGAAAAAGTATGGTGGTTTATTTTGATAATACCAAAACTAGCATTCACAAATAAATATATAGATTTGTTGTTACATTCAAGACCTAATTATATAAAAGTGTGAGATAATAATTTGATTATTATTATTACCTTTTCTTTTTTTCCATCCAAACAAAAATGACTATCCCTCTTTTTCTTTTGTCTCCTATCTATCCTACGATTAATAAAAATTATTAATATCTTAATTAACACTATACTTTATTTTCTTTCTTACGCATCCGAACGCACTTTAGAGCTCGAATCCTCCCATGGTCTTTGAGAATTGTGACAGCTCCAAACAATTTATTTTTATTTCTTATTCAAGGGTAAATAGGTAAAAGTAAATTTTTAAAAGTAAAATGGTGAAAAGAGCAAGAGACTGTCTCTTCAGATTGCTTATCTATAAGGCGCTATCGTTCCAAAGCGGGAGTCCAGAACCAATCAACCAAAAGGTAGAGAGAGAATGCGGAGCATAACGCTCTCTTCAGAGAGCGTGTTACCGAGCACGCATTCACCGCCTTCATCGTCCTCTCCTAAGCCTCTCAAATCAGTACACTTTTGTTTCAATTCTTGCTTCAACCATCGCAATTCGAAACTCTCTCACTGTAGTCCAATTCTCCTCTCCAGGTTATTTCCCATTTTTCTCTTTCTAAATTCCCTTTTCTTCTAGTTTCGGATTCAATTCTGAATCAATAACATTAGAGATTTTTTTTATTCTTTGTTTTGCCGTTCTTTATTCAATTGTTTTTGTGAAATGAATTATATGTCTACTACAATTTTGCACTCCTATTGTAGTTTAGAACTGTAAATTTAAGACCTTGAAGCCCAAAATTCTTGTTTTTGGCTTTCTTCTAGTGAATATTGTTTATAATGAAATCACTTTGTATAACCTTCCTTTTCCTTGATAAAGTAGATAACAGAGTATATTAAGTGCCAAAGATAGAAAGTCTCAGGGTTAACTTTTTGCAATTTCAGGTATTCAAGACAGCAATGTGTGAACATATATAATAAGCGATTGCGGCACTTTTTACAGACTGATTCGCATGGACACGTAACTTTTCTTTATACCCCCGTGTCTCTTTCTTCTTACTTCTCACCACTACTAAAACACGAGACCAAATAATTACTCAAAAGAATTATTTTCACTACCTAGGATCAATACTACAAAAAGATGGGAAGTTAGATGCTGATGTTGAAATTCGGATTGGAGCAGGGTAGACAAAATGGAGGCAAGCTAGTGGTATCCATTTTGACTAATGAATACCAAATAAATAAATTTTAACCAAAAAATAAAAATAAAAAATTCTATAGAAGGGTTATTAGGCCAAGCCATGTTGTGTATGGAGCAGAATGTTGGGCTTCGAAAAAGGGACAAATACAACGTGTTCATGTAGTGGAAATGAGGATGCTACATTTGATGATAGGAGTAACTAAAAGAGATAAGATAAATAATGAGCGTGTGAAGGGAACATTAGGTATAGCTCCTAAAGATGATAAAATTGGTGAAAGTAGACTTAGGTGGTATAGTCATATTCAACGGAGACCCGATGATGCATTGGTTAAAAGAGGAAGAGTTGTTTGCCTAGAATGCAAACGACAAAGAGGCCTACCAAAACTTACGTGGGATGAAGTATCAAGTAATTAAAAATGATTTTTAAAATTTAAATTTAAGAGAAGACATAGTGTATAATGGGAAATTATGATGATGATGATGTTAGTTAGAGCAGTTGACAATTTCATTATGTCATTTTTGGGGTTACGATGTGCGGCAGCATTCCCTATTACTTTCATATAAGTTTGCACTAGCCAATTGGTCCTTAAATAATTTAGACTGGGTTTTTAGAAATGAAAATTCTGATATTTAACAAGTTTATGGTCACTAGCTTAGCAAATCATAAATGATGAATGTACGAAAACTACATCAGACAGTTGCAAATTGCAACTAGTACTGCAGCCTCCAGATATATTCTCACTCTTTGAATGGAATGGATGACAGATTGTGCTTGATTCCTCTATACTAAGTGAATGGAAGCTTGATTACTTTTGCATATTATTATGTTTAACACTGATCAATTAAATTCTACATTTTAAACCTAAACTGTTGATATTTTCATCCTTGTTTTCTGTGTTTTCATGCTGAAATTGTAAGTTTTGAGGCAGGAGTTCAGGTTCATTAATTACAGTAAGTGCGAAGCAAAATCAATGCAAAATGTTGATGACTGCAGTGTCCTTGACAAATCACCTTCTGACAGCAAAAAGAGAAGGAAATATTGGATACCTGTGGATGTCCCGGTTGTGAATACAACATTCCGTAATTATTTAATGTTTGCCATGCTCTTTGGGTTGTTTGCATTTGAAGACACTCAACAGGCAGTTGCTGGTTCAGATTTTGCCAGTGGATTGCAGTCACTTCCAGTTTTAGGGGACCTCGGTGATATTAGCACAGGTTTTGCTTCAGTTAGGAAAATCTCCCTGTAACTTCTTTGATTGGCATTTTTGTTGATGTAACTTGTAAAACCAAAATTGTTGTTGATGCATTTTCTTAATCAAGAAATAAGTTGGAACTTAAAGTGACTTCCATTTTAAAAGCCTGGAACTCATTTATGATTTATTGCCCATCAAACTTTTGTTGTTTATATTAGACACGTGCATTATCTTCTTATGTGGATTGCATGCATGGGAGTTTATCTTTTTTTCCTCAAAATCAGAGGTAGTTATAATCATAGCATTATAACAGATCTAAATTACTGTATTATTATTATTTTTAGTTTCTCCTTTTAGGAATTAACCCCTTAGGAGGATAGTTATAATAAAGTAATAAACAATGCACCGCAGTCATGAGAGAACCCCTATGTGGCTGCTGGAGGGAGTTGGATTTGTAGTATTATGTTTCCCTTCCAATTTTTACCTAACTCTATGGGACCTTATTGATCAGAAATGTAGGATGTGGAGTCCAACAGGGTTTTGATTGCTGGATACAGATTGTTGCTGGTGGCTTACTCTTCTTTCCCATGTGAAAATATGTTCTTAGTTCCTTGATATTCATAGAACCTTTGTATACTATGGTGATTTTCTTTCCTTTTTTTTTTGGTCGAACAAGAAGTAAAATTTGTTGATTTCATGATTGTAGGATCATTATCATGATTCTTTATTCTTTAATTTTCATAATTGGACCTCTTTCTTAGAAGTCCGGTCCCGTAGACAAATCACAAATATGATAAATCATGGAGGAATGTTCAGACCATGTTGCATTATGCACATTTTATCTTGTTCCGTCCCCGAGATTGCATTTCCCTTTCGTATATGTGACTAATATCAAAAATCACAAGAGAAATCTGAAAATTTTAAATGCTTTTCAGTAAAAGCTGCAGAATCAATCTTGGGAGAAGAATCATTAACTTGTAGGTGATTATCTAGTTCTTAAGCTGACCAAACAAGCCAAACAACATAGGACAATAGTGAGCTTTCACCATCCTACATGAGTTCTTTGAGTGGCATAATTTTTAGTTTTCAGTGGTCAAAGTTTTACAGATTTTTTGCACCCCAGCTGAGGAATTCCATTTCAATATAATATACTTACAGCAGTAGTTATTTGCTTATGCAAAGCCCTGCATAGAAAAACACAATTTATTGCCCTTTTTACCTGAATTACATTTTTTTGTATAAGCATGCAAATTCCACTGACTAACATCATGTATGTGTTCATGTTGCAGGCATTCTTGCTGATTTTTTTCTCTGAACTGGGGGATAAAACCTTTTTTATTGCGGTAAGAGAGCACCTGTCAACAGTTTGTGGGACTATCTTTTCATAAGTTTTCGAATAAATATTTTCTGTGTTAATTGAGTGAATGTAATCAATGTATATGCATATGTCTTGGGAAATTTGTTATTAGAACATCAAAAGCAGTATTCGATCAGACATATGAACTAAACTTTCTATCTAGCCTATCTTCTTGACCACAATGTTTTCTCAAAGTAAACAGTTCTTAGCTTACTTCTATCCTTTCTGCTTTTCAAACATGTTCTCTTTTTTATTTTTTATTTTTTTCTATTTTTTCTGAACTTACTCAAATATTGGATATTTCATGTCTTGACCAGGCGCTTTTAGCAGCTAGGAATTCTGCTGCCATTGTTTTCCTTGGGACTTTTGGTGCACTTGGGTACGTTATTCTTTTCTACACATGGTGATCTAGATTTTAGTTGTTTTTGAAGCCTTGTCTTAATGGGATTCAATTGCTATTTTGCATGTATGCCTTCTTAACTGTTAAGTTACTTTGTACTTTTGTAGATTTTAGAGACGCATATTACGACAAAGAAGAGGTTTTGGGAAGCAGACTCCTATACCTTGAGAAATAGCACATAAATATTAGGTGTAAATTACCGTCACCTCCCTTGAGGTTCGCAATTTGCACCCACAGATTAAACTTTGGTCTACTTCCCCTAAAATTTGATAAAATATAAACGTAGGTCTGTATATCCATTAAGGAATTTTTATTTGATACCAAACTTGCTCTTCCTAAAAGTGAAATTGCTGGTTTACTCTTCTAATCCTTTTTAATGTTGATGATTATCCTATATTTTGTTATATATTAACTGCCATTCCACAAATAGGGTAACCAGATTATGGAGGTCAAAGAGGAGAGATAGGACATAGGGTTACTGTTACATGACATCAGTAGGTCAGATATTAATTGTTATAGTACTTAGGGAGGGAAATTTTGTCTTTTACATCTGATTGCAAGTTGTCAAGTCATTAACTCTTATAGGGCTGTGAGAGTGATTTATGTGATAGTTTAATCTGAGGGTGAAAATTACAAACCACGGGAGAATTCAGGGTAATTAACCATTATATATTTAAAATATGTTACTTCAATTCCAACGTAGTTCCCCTCGTGACTTGCTAATATGGCTTTCAAACTGTTAATAATTCATAACAGCCCCAATCTTACTAAATGCAAGATCATTTAACATTTCTTTTATTAAGAACACATTCTTCGTTTTCTGATGAGTTCATCATTATATTAAAATAACAAATCAACAACTTTGATTTCATCATTATCGTGCAGTTGTTGAAGAAATATATTTAATGCAATACTCTTAAAATAGTAAAAGTACATATGGAATATTTATTTCCTTGAACTCATGAATTGTCGGCTTATCATGGCAGGGTAATGACAATCATATCGGTTGTCCTTGGGCGAACTTTTCATTATGTTGATGATATCCTTCCATTCAGGTATTCCTTGAGATTCTGATTTTGTAATTCGGGAACTTTGTTATGAGATTGGAGAATCTTTTTATGGGACTTGGTTGTGGACGTTCAGTTAGTGGCATGCTACCTAACTCAGTAGACATGCAGATAGATAGGGATCTTGTAATTAGTCTTGCCCAGAATATCTTTTTCTTTCAGTAGGTAAGGATGATCATTATTTAGGAATAATGGAAAATATACCAGGCTCAGTGCATGCCATCAACACCCTGGATAGAGTAACATAATATTTAAACAATTGAATTATTGTACGCATCCATCTGGCAAAATTTTCCAGCACCAGTGATTGCATCACTCTGCATCTTCATGAAAAGGATTGGTTCTGTTCGCAAGGTTATGCATGGTTAAACTCATCGTTGTGTGGCAGGCAAACTGCCTAGATGTGACCCATAGAGTGATGTGTCCCATCACACTGTGTGTGCATTGCATGTACAGGTTTTGCATCAGTAAACCATCCTCGAGATCTTGACATATCCCTAGATTTTCAATTTAGCAGTAGGTATTGGTGGGTGTCTTTCCTCCCCATTCTAGCTAGAAGATTATCAGTCAGATCATCCAGTGTTATCCTAATATAGTTTTCTGAATTACAGATTTGGTGACACCGATTTGCCTATTGATGACATTGCTGCAGTTTGTCTTTTGGTATCTAATGGCTTCCAATTTTTAGCTTAATGACATTAATTATTACTCTATTTTTAGAAGGAAATTGGTGTCACAAGTCCAATATTGTAATTATTGCAGGTATATTTTGGGGTTTCAAGCTTGCTTGAAGCCACCTCCGGTGATGGCCTAAAGGCAGAAGAAGAACAGAAGGAGGTGAATTTTCTACCATAATGTATGATTTATTTGGATGTTAAGCAGCATAAAAATCCTGATGTAAATTTCATCTTCTTCAAATAAATTTCATAAAGTGGTTAAAAGGACAATTCATATGCAATAAGAATTCTCTATACTTTGCAGGACCCTTTTCTCAAAGATAATTGGTGTGTCAACTTGTCAACCTAATACCTGTGTCTGATACTGCTTGGGACACTAAGTACACCTTTACATGCTTCCGTCTAAAATTTGCTTAAGAATCAGCATATTATGCCACTTAATCAAAAGTGTAGTTTTCTTTATTATTTTACAACTTGAAATTTGTGAAGTAACCACATTGAGCGAAAAGAAAATCAAATTGATTTGTTAAATTATGATATTTTCTCATTCTGCTATCTACTTTTTCTTTTCCTTTCTTCTTTTTCTTCTTCTATCTCCCCAACCCTCTTTTGCTCTCTTTTTCATCACACTACTATGGTTTACCACTGAGGTTAGCAGTATCCTAGCAGACAGTTTTAGATTCATTTCATGTTTTCATTTTGAACCAGGCAGAGCTGGCAGTATCAGAACTTTCAGGGAATGGTGCTGGGATTTTGGCTGCTGCTAATACAGTCATTAGCACTTTCCTGCTAGTTTTTGTTGCTGAATGGGGTGATAAATCATTTTTCTCCACAATAGGTGAGTGATGAAGTTGAAAACTTCAATTTAATTTGATTGCAGATTGATACCACTTCAAGGAATGCTTACCATGATGTCTGAAATTCATGCTTTATGCCACATTTTATGCATGGAATTTTCAAGTCAATTGCACCCCTACATTTTGACCACACTTCAGATGCACACATAATATATATGTGTGTGTGTATATTAATTCATCACTATCAAGCCAAATAGGTACAAGTACTATGATTAGATGGTTGTGTTGGGATCAGTTGACTGGGGTTGTGTCCTTGGGTCCCTGTTATAGAAAAAAAATAGAATTTCAAATTTATATTTTTTGGTCTTTCCTAATTTTTTTAGCAACCAGAAAGGGCAGGCGAGTTCCCATGCAGGACCTTTAACACGACTTATGGATGCTAATCTCCTTGTTCTCATGTGTCATGTTCTCTGAGTCCTATACTAACACAATACTCTTCTTATTCAGCACTTGCTGCAGCTTCTTCACCTCTTGGAGTTATTGGAGGAGCACTAGCTGGTCACGGAGTTGCAACTTTGGTAATTTGTTAATAATTTAACTGCTTATTGCAGCCTCCAGTTAGGAGCTATAATATCAGCAAATTTGCAAGCTAATTTCATATTTAAAAGCAACTTGAGGAATTTTGGCTGAAAAGTTAAACAACTTGCATAATCACTTTAAAATTTGCAACTTGCTTATAATTCTGGAAGCTACTTTAATTTGACTACATGTACAAATTACAAGTTGCTCTCCTTAAAAAATAGAAAAGAAACAATTCTCTTGGCAGTACAGTGTTGGTGACATGGAGATCTCTCATTGGCAATTTTTATTGGATTGTCTTCACTGAAAGTTCATAATCTTACTAATTTCTCTCTTCCCCTAATAAATTGATTGGTTTATTTTCTTTCTTTACGGTAATATGTTGATTTACAGGGGATAGAGCTAATCCCTTACTAATTATTTTGCGCAGCTAGCTGTTTTGGGAGGTTCATTACTAGGTACATTCTTATCTGAGAAGGTGAGATTACTATATCCTCATCTATCAAACAAAAGCATACCTTGCAATATATTATACAACTACTTGGTTCCTTGAAGATATCTCCTGTTCTTTGTTGCAAGGGATATGTTAGTCAGGATGGATCATAAAACTGGCTTCTGCTGCATTCATGAAGAAACCAGATTGACAAACCCTGACATTCTTCGTTGTTAAACTTTACCTGATTTTGCGTCTAACCTAATAATTTAAATATTTTTTAACTTCTCCAGTATAACAAATGTTGGTAGAAAAATTAAAATTATTGTAGTTTTGAAGAAGTTAGAAAACAATAATTGTTAACTCTTTCCAAGTGTCAGTGTCCGACTCAAACTTCAGAATAGTCCAGAGTCTCCAGACCTACCCTCAGTTTTTTCATACATTATTCCCAGATTCTGGTGTATACAAACTATTACTGTTTGCTTCTGAATTTTATGACATCCCTTCCTTTGTTAGCCCATATATTCAAGACACAAATACGTTTAAGATCACCTGCCTCGAATAGTTTATGTTGGGAATGCATGGAGGCTTCTTACCTGCTATATGAAGCTAGCCAATAGATTCATCATCATTGATAGAAAAATGTTTAGCACATTGAATATAACTATCCAACTGATACAAGGAGCATGAGTTAGCAACATTTCAATAATCTCATGCAGGATCTTTTTCTTTTTTTCCCCTTTTCCTTTTTCTTTTCTATTTGGTGTGATCGTTGGATGACTTGTCTCATAAGAAACTATACTTTTTATCCTCAGTAAAATATTATATTGATGAAAATTATAGTTTCCTCTTGTTCATTGTCCAGGTTATTGCCTACATCGGAGGTTCTCTGTTCCTCGTCTTTGCAGTAGTAACATTGATTGAGATAGTGAATTAGAACTGTCGCATTTCTTCTCTCTCAAATAGTTGAATTTGTAGGATTATGTAAATTCATTAAAACAGCATTTGCTTTCACTGGCTGTGTATGAGACTGGAAAATTGTTTCAGAAAATCTGGATTCGTTCATGAACCAGTACATTCGAGCTATTTGGCAGGTAAGCTGCACACATACCACACTGCCTCATGTTGAGGTTGGCTGATGCTTACTTTGTTTTCCTGTTTCTTGAGATCTGAGATTCGTAAATTTCACGTACGTGGTCCCTTTGATATTTATGGTGAATCTTATTAGCTAATTATTTTTGCAGTCGAAGTTGTTTGCCTCCTTCACCCTGCGCCGGAATGTATTGCAAAATGTAATGACAGATCTACCGATTTTATATATATATATATATATTTACCCAAAAAAAAAATGTAATGACAGATAAAAGTCCAGTCCTTTTATTTCACTAAGGTCTCTTGGCAGCTGCTATTTGATTATTGACCCAAGAGTCCAGTGAATTGTTTAAAATTTACCAACATTTTATGGTTTCTTTTCCTTTTGATGAATAGTGCGGGTGTTGAAATTTGTTTTGGTGAAGAGGTAAAAAAAAAAACTGCAGGATGGATCTATAATAATAATATAAAAACACTAAAATTTGCACCCCAGGAGCCTCACAGCTTTTTCTAACATATATTTTTAGATATATTGATGCTATGTTAGGTTGCATGTTTGAATTATTATTATTATTATTATTATTATTATTTAGAATAAATTACATTGACACCTCAAGAGGTTTTGGTCGATGTCACTTAGGTGTGGGTCAACGGCTTTTTTAACAATAACACTCCATGTGGTTTCAATGCCATATTTGCTCCTAATTATTTAATTCAATTAATTTACAAAATATCAACTCTATTAATTGACGAAACTACCAATATCATTAAGCTTCGTTTTTTTTCTCGATAATTATATCATTAAGCCTCTTTTTTTTCGATAATTATATCATTAAGCCTCTTTTTTTTTTTTTTTATTCATTTTAATACCTAGCCACCGACACTTCTCTTTCTTCCCGATCTCTCTCATTCCCCTTCTTCTTACTTTGTTATTTATTTTATTTTTTTGATAAATTGTACCCCTAGTCATTCTTCTCGCCGGTCAAGGAGCTACCGATGGTTGATGGAGGGAAATGTAATTGGTGATGGAGGAGATGGCGGGTAGGGCAAGTTAATTCGCATAATTTGGGAGAAAAATGTTGCGGTGTAGTGATTGTGGTAGTGTTGGATTTGTGATTGAAATGAGTAAGGGACGGAAAATGGGTGTGATAGGAGAGAAGAGAATTGGTGGGAATGGTGATATAAAAACAGTCATTTATTATTATTTTGTCCTGTTGTGGTGGGTCTAAGCTAACTATTGATGTTTGTAAATTTTTTTCTACTATGGTGGTGGTTGTGGTGTTTTTTGGATGTGGTTGTGGTGGTGTCTTGGTTATCAGGGTATTTTTTTTTTTATTTTTATTTTTATTTTTTTTTTGTGGTGGTTTTGGTAGCGTTTGGGTGTGTTGATGGTGTTACCTTGGTGTGGTGATGGCGGTAGCAGGGACAAAGGCAGTTAAGGACCGGAGGGCTCGTGCCCCCCTGAATTTTCTCCCTCTCTTATATTTTATAATAATATATATGATTTTTTATGAAGATATGGAAAGTGCCCCCCCAATTTTCTCATATATGTTTCATTTCTCCCAAATTGTTTCCTTAATTCTTATATTCTATATTTGTAGATTAATTTCATCCCAAAAATATCACTATCATCTCTTTATATACATTAACTTATATACATGTACATTATATTATAAATATATGTTATGGTATACAATATTATAATGCCCCCCCGCCCCCCCAAAAAAAAAAAATCCTGGCTCTGGGTGGTGGTGGTGTTTTCTCGGTGTAGTGGTGCTTATATTCTATATTTGTAAATTAATTTCATCCCAAAAATATCACTATCATCTCTTTATATACATTAACTTATATGCATGTATATGCATGTATATTATATTGTAAATGCCCCCCCCCCCCCAAAAAAAAAAAAATCCTGGCTCCGTCACTGGGTGGTGGTGGTGTTATCTCGGTGTGGTGGTGATTCTGATGGCGTTTGGGACGTATAAATATGGGTTGGTCATGATTGTTTTCAATTTTATTTTTATTTTTATTTTTATTTTTCTAATACGGTGTTTGGGTGTGGTGGTGTACAGACCATAAGCTATCTAACTATTTTTAAAAAATTATTATTATTATTTTACTTTTATGTTAGAGCATCTCCAATGCTAAAATGTTAAATTCGGATGCCAAATCTATATTTTGATAGTGTTACAGTGTCAAAATGCTACATTTTAGCAATTCTACTCCAATAATGCATTTTATGCAAAATACTATTTTTTGACACAATCACTATTTTTTTTCAACTACCATTCCCACCATTCATATTTAGATCAGTAAATGTTAATATTAGGCACATTCTAAATCAAGTTGTAGACATTAAAAGGAAATTAAAATTAAACTTAATTAAAAAGAATAAAATATCTAAAATATCTGGTCAAAAAAGGACCCCTAAAAAAATATATGTATATATATATATATATATATATATGTATAAATTTATATATTTGATTATATTATTATATAATTTTTTTTTCTTTTTCGGAAATTTATATATATTATATGTATATTATATATATTTAATTATATTATTATTAATATATATATATATATATATATATATTTAGGGCAAATCATTTCAACCTCCTCGTCATATATATTTTTAGGGCAAATCATTTCAGCCTCCCCAATCGCCTCCATCTCTATTCTCGTTCAACTCTGAAATTACCCCCCCTCTCTCTCTCTGCAACTGCAAACTACAACAAGAATCAGAAGTTCAAAACCATATCTTTCAGTTTCCATCGCTCGCTGTTCTAGTTCGGGATCGTCGTTCGCAAGCTTCAGCCTCTGTCTCTCAACTCTCAAGCTTGCCCCCTCTCTCTTTCTACAACTGCTAACTTGTACGTATGGGTTTTGTTTTAATTTTTTTTTTTTCTAAATCAACTAAAATCAAGGTCTGTAATTCTTGTTTTGTAAATAAAATCCTATTTGGTGAAATTTTTTATGATCTTTTTTAAATATATATATATATATATATGGCCTTTGAACCCTGGCCTATCTCTCTCTCTCTGAAATAGCAGTAGCTATTTCTTGTGCTATAATTGGCAAAATTTTTGGCAAAGTTAAAAATTGGCAGCCCTTTTAGCACTGCATTGGAGAGCCCCTTTTGAAGTCCCCTTGCTATATTTTAGAAATGAGAGCTCTTTTAGCATTGGATTGGAGATGCTCTTATGGTGGTACAAGTATTGTTAAATATAAACTACATCTATATGTATAGAAGAGTTGAAAAAGTTAGTTTGATCCATTAAACTTAGTTAGATGGTTAAATTTGTAATTTTATGATTTAAATTGAGTTGTTGACAAATTAAGGGGTTAAAAAGGTAATTTTATATGGTTTAAGAGGTCTGTAGGGGTGTCAATGCACATTTTTGAAACCACAAAGGTGTCAATGTAAACATGTAAACAAGTCATTGACGGTCCGTTGAGTGGCATTGACCAAAATCTTAGGGGTGTCTGTGTAATTTACCCTATTTTTTTTAATTTTAAAACATTAATTTTTTTTTTTTTTTAATCATTGGTAAGAAACTCGCACACATCACTCATACACCGCTTTGCTCTATTGATAATTCGAACTCCACCATTCACTTTAAAAGATAAAAAAAATATCACAGGTTCACAAGGTCATCGTCAAAACATTAATTCTATTCAATTGAACATAACATAAAAAATAATAATAAAAAAAAATCTCACATTGTTTTAAGAATTTTGTTTGTTTGTTATACTTTATGGACCATCACTTGTAGGGTCATTTAAATCACAAATTCACGCAGCAAAAGTGAGAACAATACCATTTAAAAAAATTACTTGTATTGTAATTAGTTATTAAGCTTATTAAAGCATCTCCAACAATTTATAAAAATATTTTTTTTTTTATATAAAATATATACTGTCATGTTTAATGTGTAATTTTTTTTTTATATCTAACAATCTATTAAGATATACTGTCATATTACTAATGTGTAAAAATTTTGTGTATTTTACACAATTTTTTTACATAGTATATTTTCTTTTCTTTCCCTTTCTCATTCTATTAACAAATCAACCCTATATTAAGTAAGTGTGTAAAAATTATGTGGAATTCAAGTATGACATTGGTTAAATGTTAGTGAGGAAATATATTTTTACATAAAATGTATAAAACAACTAAAAATAAATAATTTAAAATTTTTGTATAAAACAATTATGATATATCAGATTTATAAATAAAAAAAAAAAATTTACACATCGATTCGAGATGCTCCTATTAGAGTGCAACTTGAAATATATATATTATTGTTATGTTTTGGTGCGCCAAAAAAAAAAAAATTAATTTTGACTTAAACTTATTTAATCAAGGTATAAAGATCGTAAAGTCAATTTAGTTTGGGCTGTGATGAATTCAATTAGAGGTACCCTTGAAATCACGCGACATTATGCGTGGGCCATACAAAGACGGTGACCAGCCGCTGCGGCCTGTTTGATGAGAATTGGAAAACATCTGAGGCATGCTGACGTGTTAGAGAGAGAACGTTTTGGGAATTTCGACTTCGTATCGCCACAGTAATTAACTGAATTTCAGCAGTTAACGGTGAACCCACTCTGATTGGGAACATCTATTGGTTGTTTATTGTGCGATGGGGGATAGAGAAAATATCGGATTTGGACCACCATACTCCATAATATCGTCATTCACGAGGAATATAAAAGGATAATTCTATAAAAATAAATTTTGTAGGTCAAAGATAAAAGAATAGAGTCAAAATTAAATATTTTAAATTAATAAAATTTTATCAAGATCTAAGGCGGACATAAAAATTTACTGTACATTATCTTTTTATTCCCAAAATATCATTCTATTATTATTATGAATGTTTTTTTTTTTTTTTTTTTTTGGTGAAAAGCCCTCTCTCCAATATAATGGAATAACTTTTAATGGTGACCAAACGCCCACAAGACTAGAAGTCTTAATTGTTCCAAAAGCTGCTCAAAAAAAAAAAACAAAAAACAAAAAAACAACCAGCAAACCCATTTCATCATCAATCTCTCACACACCCCTAAACCAGCCCCTTTTGAATGTGTTCATCTGCAATGGCAAAAACAATTCTTTCTTTTTTATTGGCCAACTCTCTCTTTCACCCACCTAACCGGCAAACCTGTATTTTTTTTTTTTTAAATGACCAGAAGTTTTGGATGAATTTATCAAGCTTGTTGGTTGTTCGTTTGAGAAGAAAGATTGTCATAGATAGGTTTCTCTCTACATATGAGGGATAGTAATATAATTTCATAACAACAATAGAAGGGTATTTTGAAAATAAAAATATGATGTACGGTAAATTTCCATCTCCACTTGAGATTTAAAGAAAATTCCATTAATTTAGAAAATTTGATTTTGACTCCATTCTTTTGTCCTTTAATTCCCAAAACTCTATTTTTATGGAATTTATAAAAAAAACCTAGTCATGTAGTTCTACAAAAAAAGTTGCATTGCAGATTTTATATATATATATATATATATATATATTTAAATAATAACAGCAACGTTATTAAAAAGTTGCAAATTAATATATATATATCTTTAAATAATAACAGCAAACGTTATTAAAAAGTGAGATATTAATCATAGATGAAAGTTGCATTTGGCTATATGAATTGTTATTGCAATCATAGACTCTAAATTAGAAATATCAAAATTAATGACAATTTAAAGATGGAAGAAGCGGTTTTAGAGGCGCAATCAATCATTTTAGCAAAATTTTATAACCTAAAATATCACACAAACAATAATGAGAATATTTGTCATAATGAGAAGGATAAATTACATCGATTTCTCTAAAAGTTTTCTTAATATACATTGATATCTCCTTTTATTTGTCAAATTGAACTTACTTTCCTTGATATTTTTTGTGCAAGTAATACATGTTACACTTCACCTTCTCAACAGTAAACGATGAAAAATGTTGATATGCAATTTTATAATTTTCAAGTTGCAAATTATGCCCACATTTTTATTGCAATAAAAATACACTATATATAAGGATGAAAATGTAATTACGCATTACGATAAATCTAACAAGAGATAAGAAGGAATGTTAATGTAATTTACCTTGAGAAAAAAGAAATACTTCTCTAAGTGCAATGCTAAGAAAATTCTTCAAATTTTTATTTACCAAATAAATCCTACAATTTTAGTGAAAATTTTATACTTTTAAATAATGAATTTTTTTTTTTTAAATTTCCAATTCCATTCCAAACATAATAACTGAAAAATATTACTAAAACAAAAAATTTCATTTTTCACTCAAAAATCCCTGTAAAAAGTTAGTTACAAAGCTCCTATTATAGCCAAAAATAAATAAATAAATAAAAAGAAAATTTTATTGGTCAGTTTGAGCACACGTAACCGGTAACACTGTTGACAAACAGTGAAGCATGGCTTAACGTACGCGTATAGCTTAACGTACGCTGCTTTGTCCTCTTCTATTGATTTCCAATTTTCCACCCGCAATTATCTTCTCTCTACATATATACACACACTCTCTCTCTATAGACACAGGTATATAACCTATGCTCTTCATCATTTTCTCTCTCTTGCCGCCGACGTTTGAAAAGCCCTAGCTTTTATCTCTTCCTCTTGCTGATAAGCTAATCGGCTCTAGAAGGTAATTTCTTTGATATATTGTCTCGAGTTCGAGCCTCTCGCCCTCGCGTCAATATTTGATTTTGTTTCAGATTCGAAACACTGATTTATGAATCCTTTAATTTCTTGATGTATTATGCTACTTGTATTCCATTTCAAAATTTAATTATCCATTTTATTATCAGTAAATCTTCGTTGTTGATATCTTCTGTCTAGCCGTTTTTTTTTTTTTTTTATTATTTATTTATTTATTTATTTATAATTTATGGATTTGCCGAATTTGTGTCTGATATGCAGCAATTGAGCTTTTAGAGTACTAATGTGTATTACTTTGTTAATTTTGATTTGAATAATTATGTGTTGACCTTTTAATTCCGTTTGGTTATTGATTTTGCTTTATATTCTATCGTTATATTTTTGCTTAATTTCGCTTTAATTCACTTTTTCCTATGTGTGTGTCCAATTCATGTCCTGTTTGGTTGTTAGGAAACCCAAAGGAGGAGGATAACTGAGAACTTGTATTTTCTCTGGTTTTTTATTCCTAGAAAGTTGAGTAATTCGTTTGCCTAGTAACTAGGGAACAGAATTATATTTTTTTTCTGTTATGGAATGGGTACAGATCTATTTGGTTCATTGCCTTGGTTGATTTTTAGCAGTCATACTATCATAGAAATGTTTTATTATATTGTTACCCATGCTCTTTGTTTTGGTTTTCATTTTTTATAGTTGTGTTGATCTCAATACTCCTTGAACTCCGCGATCTTTGTTATGTTTGTTTATTTATTTATTTTTGTTTGGGGAATTATATGGTGTGTTTACTTGGGAAGATATCTGAGACATTTGCTTCTTTTGCCACATATCAAGATCAAAATTTTCTACATTTTAGTTTCTTTTATACTCCATAAATATTGGATTTTCCTTGGCTTGTCTTTCTCCAAATCTGTATTTGTTTGGATAGAATTCATTCTAAATGTACTTACATATCTTGATCGCATGGGTATTGTTTTCTTAAGGGAATTATGTTCTTGAATTTGTTTGCTGGTGGTTTATTCAATTTTGGTGGTTTTTGATCAGATTTATATTTGTGTATCTCTGATTGATTCAGCTTGGAAGGTTTATGCCTCTTGTAAAAAATGCCAATGGTTAGGCTTGTATTCAATCTGTCCCTCTCATCATCATCAATTAATAATGAGGACTACACTAGAAAGTTTACTCCATAAATCATTTTACAACAATTTAGTTATCATAATTTTTTCATTCTATATCTTTGCCCCCTTTTGCTTTTGATATTTATTTTAATGAAGGTGCCACTTTCATTTCCACGTTTTTTTCTCTTTTCCAGTAACAATATCAATATTACTTTTGCTTTTGATTTATGGAATTTGATTTACCTGCTTGTTTTGTGTTTCATTTAAGCTTCATTTTGTTGCCGATGATCATTGGAAAATGGAAAGGAAAGTCTAAAACTCAATATTATGCAATGTTATTAATCCATAAACAAAAATATCAACTCACGAGGCACTATAATGTTTTTGGTTAAGTTGTTTCCCCCCACACTTTTAAGGCTTAAGGTCAGAAATGTTAAAACTTCGAAACTTCATTTTTCTTTTTATCGTTTTTCTTGGCAATGAAATAGTGGGTTATCTTAGGGGCCCTAATTTGGCTTGGAATCGTTCAGTTCTAGCTGAAATTTTTACCTTTTAGTTGTCTTACCAACTCCCATTTTTCTTGAAATTTTCATTCCTTATTTTATACATTCATTAAATTTCTAAACTAGTCTACTCTGCAAGTAATTTTTATTTTCCATTTTATCACTATATTATGTTTTTCTTCGTACTGTTCACCCAGAATCTATGAGCCCTAGCTGCTTTTGCATCTCAGGGGATCAATTTTCTTCATGTTGTTCCTCTGTTTTAGAAATAGAAGATTTATGCTTCCCACTTTCTTTTTTTTCTCCCTCAAGAAATTATCATGTATTTGACTATTGTACTGTTTGTGCAACACCCTGTAATTATTTTTTCTTGCAGTCAGCCACTTAAGTTTTTGATGTGCCAAAAGGATAAGTTGAATACCAAACAGAACATAGGCTGATGCCATGGGGAAGGACACAGTTTTCTTGGATTTAGTTGATTATATGGCTTTACAGAGAGAGCAGTTTTTGAGATGATTGGTCCAGTAGTCACCCTAAACTTGAGTTGTTTCCATTGGTTTCACTTTCATTTATATTTCTCCTCTCTATTTTTTTCTTAAAAAATTAATTCCTATAAGAGCTCTTTAAAATATATGATTTAAAAATCTCAACAAAAAATTAAAGAAAATGTTATGCGTAGCCTATATGCCACTCAGTCATGCCATTTAAATGCCGAAACTTATTATTATGGTACAAATTATTTTAATTATCAGAAAACATGTGTAATTTTGCTTAGGAAAAAAAATTATGTAATTTTTAATTTTTTTTCTCCTTTTGCATTTTCTGGTTGTATATGGACAAATTCAAGAAAGCACAAGGCATGGCCTGCCCCTGGCGCTGGTTAACCTGTCATATGGTTTTTCTTTGGTGTTGAATCTTTTAATTTTTTTTAATGTAAAATATTGATCATTTTCTGACCTCCTCCTTCCTCTTCATTTACTAGTCCCCACTCCCAGACACTCTAATAAGCTGTTAATGATGTAAATTTTGTTCTCCTTGTCATCGTTGTTCCTCCAACACAGTTATCATGTGATTAAATAAGCATATGTACGAAGTTTCATGTGTTCTCTCTCTCTCTCTCTCTCTCTCTCTGTTTTTGTGACTTATGAAAAACATAGGTAATTTCATGTGTAATTAATCCCCGATTAACTCTGCCTTTCTCATCACCATCTCTGTTGTTCCTCCGGTCCAATTATCATGTGATCATATAAGCATATGAAGTTTTCATGTGTTAATTTTTAAGAATGGAATTTTAAGGTAATCACACCACGTACTTGTGATCACTTGCCACTTAAACTCTTAACATCTTATGCATATCCATTGTTGATCACTTGTCACTTAGATTTTATTGTTTCTCCCACACATATTTGAATGGGCGATCCATGTTATTTTTTCCAGTTAGAAACTAACCTTCAGTTCCTGCAACATTGGGTTATCTATTGACAGTTGAATTGGCGTTAAATATTGTCCGTTAATTGGTGTCTTGTTTGTGAAACTGTTTGTAAAAAGATTAAAAGAGTGGAACATCTGAGATTGAAAGATTGTGCATTGTTGTCCTGAGAACTGACTGATGTTTGATCGCTCATGTGTCATTGATTATATGTGATATCCTTCAAAAATAAATAAATAAATAAAAAATAAATAAATAAAAAATAAATAAATAAATAAAATTATCAGGCCATTTATTTATGCGTAGTGGGTTATTTTGCTCTTATGTATATAAAAGCTCTGTTTTATTTATTTATTTTTATTTTTATTTTTATTTTTATTTTTTATTTTATTTTATGTTTTTTGTATGTGGGGCATTTTTTGTCATTGATAGAAATGTGGGAATTAAAGTTGAGACCTTTATGTGATTAGCTTAGGTAGTGGGGGAGGGTATTGTTATTAGGCAACCTAGTCACTAGTGGAATCCATGTGGCAACTCCATGCGTAAGATATAGGCACATGTGTGAGACGTATTGCACACTTGTGCTGCTCACAAGAAAACTCTTATGCAACCGTTCAAGAGGGAAGAAGAGAGAATTGAGTTGGGAAAAAAAAAGACCAAGGGGGAGCTCTGGCTGAGAGTTAGAGGAGAAAGAAAGGAAGAGAATAAGAAGGAGAGGAAGAAAGAAAGGATTGTAGGTTCATCACTACTTTGATTTCAGGTAGGGATTTTCTAGCTTTTGCAGTTTTGGGTGGCTTTCCTCTTACCATTCTACTCAAATGCTGAATTTTGTTTTGAATTCTTACTTCAGCTTCTGCAAATTTTGGGAATGTCTTACAGTTTTGAAGCACTTTGAAATTCAAATTGTTGGTTTGATAAGCATGATTGTTCCAAGTTTTATAGGTATTTCTCGGTAAATTAAAAATTATATATTGTCGCTTACTGTTGTTCTGTTTCTTTTTAAACATTCTAATTCACCCTTATTGAAGAAGGGGTGTGACATTATACGTCATGCATAAACTTCTTAAATTTCATTCATCTTGTGCAATCTATAGCTATTGGAAAATATTTGGTTGTATTGCTGATATTTTGTTTCTTTATGTTGTGATATTTACAACCTTAATCCCGGTAGTGGTTACTTTGAAACAGCAATAGTCTCTCTCTCTAATCATATGTTTGTTGTGAAACAGGATGATTGGCTGCCGTGACATTATTATGAAGAATTCTTTGTAAAGATTTTCTTCAGTTACTAATTGTCTCAACTTCAGATTAAACTTTTATAGCAAATGGATCGGCGTGATACTTCAGGATTCGTTAGCGGGGGTGGGATGTTCTCTTTTAGAGACATCTAACCGTAGTTTTGTCACTAATTTTATTTAGCCCGGAAGTCAGGCAGACTGTTCTTTTGCGGTTGACACTTGAGAGTTGGTTCGAATAAGAGTGCTGGTACTTTTGCAGTTGAGGGTTGAGTTGTTGTATCTTTGACTATTGGTTCATGGATACCAGGTTCAAGAATCTGTGTTTTCTCACGACCCCCTCCTCAAATGCATTTAAGAATTTGGGTACTTCCATCCAAGTTGGAGGAGCTGGAGATGGAGCTGATTATTGCGCGGACACCATTTTACGACTTGATTCCCCTGGTTATTCAATCCCTTTCTTTTCTGCCTCAAAAGGAACTAAAAGGAAGTGGAGTTTGATTGATGGGTCTGTGGACCAGCAATTTGGGACCTCATTGCTTCTTGGGCAGCGCCATTCATCAAGTTCCTCAGACAGTAAAGGGAGTTCAGCAACTACATGCACTACGATGTCTTCAGCCAAAGAAAGCGATGAGGAGTCTTCAATGGATATTGCATTGGACTTCACTCTACATATTGGCAACGAGAAGTTGACCTGCCCAAAAAAATCTACCACCTCTAATTTGAAAACATCAGATGTGCAGCCCAAGGTTGACCTGGAGTTGAGTCTATCAACTGGGCAGACTGAATCTGATATCACTAGTGTTCATCTAAACTCCACTCCACTTCGAAATGTCATAGAGATGCCACGGTCTGTTGATGGAGCAATTCATACAGATGAAGGATCAACATCATTGTGTTGGAAAACAGGAAACTCTTTCCACTCATTGCATACTTCACCGAATGCAAAGACTAGTTTCTTCCTCAACCAGGCTTTAAGAGAAATTAATCCAGCTTCTATTGTTCCAGACCACTCATCAAGTGTAGTAACCGCACCAAACAGCTCAGTCACCTGTACTTCCGGGATAACACAACAGCAACAGCAACAGCAACGCAGTAGTACTAAGACATGTCAGTTTCAGGGATGTGGAAAGGGTGCAAGAGGTGCTTCTGGCCTTTGCATTGCACATGGTGGTGGCCAGAGGTGTCAGAAACCTGGCTGCCATAAAGGATCTGAGGGCCGAACTGTGTACTGCAAGGCCCACGGGGGTGGTCGACGATGCGAGTTCCTAGGGTGTACTAAGAGTGCTGAAGGACGTACAGATTTTTGTATCGCACATGGTGGTGGCCGGAGATGCAATCACAAGGGTTGCACTCGAGCTGCCAGAGGGAAATCTGGATTGTGCATTCGACATGGTGGGGGCAAGAGATGCCAGAAAGAGAACTGCACAAAGAGTGCAGAAGGCCTCTCTGGTCTCTGCATTTCACATGGAGGTGGCCGTCGATGCCAATATCCAGAATGTAAGAAAGGGGCACAAGGAAGCACAATGTTTTGCAAGGCGCATGGTGGTGGAAAAAGGTGCACATTTGAAGGGTGCACCAAGGGTGCAGAAGGAAGCACACCTTTCTGCAAGGGCCATGGTGGAGGGAAAAGGTGTTTATTTGAAGGTGGTGGGGTTTGCCCAAAGAGTGTACATGGAGGGACCCTTTACTGTGTAGCGCATGGGGGTGGTAAGAGGTGTGCTGTGCCTGAATGCACAAAGAGTGCGAGGGGGCGTACTGACTTTTGTGTCCGACATGGTGGGGGCAAGAGATGCAAATTTGAAGGGTGTGGCAAGAGTGCACAAGGCAGCACTGATTTTTGCAAGGCACACGGGGGAGGAAAGAGATGCTCCTGGGGCCACACTGATTCAGTATTCGGCAGAGGCGATGGTCCTTGTAACTCATTTGCTAGGGGAAAGACTGGACTCTGTACATCCCATGGTGCCCTGGTACAGGACAAGCGGGTTCATGGAGCTGCCACTTTGGAAACTGTGATCCAGGATCCAAAACCTACCATAGCTGAGAAAATAAAAGAGGTTGTCAATGTGGACGATATGAGTGTTGATATCATAAAGACGGAGGGCAATGCTGCGACTTTGGCTGGCTTCACTGGGTTGAAGGGGAAACAATTTGGACTCCAGCAAGCTTGTTTGCCAGTTGGGGAAGGAGGGCCATCGTTTATTCCAGGTCTGGTTCCTGAAGGAAGAGTCCATGGGGGTAGTCTATTGGTAATGCTGTCAGGCAGTTCTGGTCTTGGCTTAAGCGGCAGCAAAAATGTGATCGTTGGTTCATCCAAGCCGGGGAAATCGCACATTACGCCTCACAACATGATGTAAGGCAGTTTCAGCATTTTCATTTTGGTCTTGGTAGTTGCAGAGTTTTCTGCTTCTGCCCTCTTTTATAGTTTGTCGAGTGTTTTGGTGATGAGAAGCTGTTCTCATCCATTTATTTAGATGGTGGGAACTTTCGAAGTGTTTTCTTCGACCTCCCTTGTGTAACAATAAGTGGAAATCAGTTAGAGATAGGCAATGTAGTTAGCCTTTCGAGTCTGGGTTATTGGTGTTTTTTCCTGTAAATACTTGTGCTTATGTTAGCGTGTTCCTATGAATACGTGATACCATGTGGATATTCGTTCAGTCAGGTGTATTCTAGTTACGGTAAGTCTTTTGCTACAGTTAGATCCCTGTTGCGGTGCTTCTTGCTTGAGTTGTTTGAATCTGATTATTGATTTTGTTTAGCTATGTGCAGTATCTGATGCCCTTTCTTTTTCAAGAATTAATGATTTATTTCTGGTTGATGCACGAATGCAATTTTAAGAAAGAACAAGTGTCTTCACATTTTTCCCTTTTTAGCATCTTCCAATTCATTGAGTTTTCTTGTACATTTCTAGTATATCAAACTAGGTATTTGCAGTTTTCTCATCTTAGAGAGCCTCATGCTTGAACTTGGCCATCTTAGAGAGCTCATCAACTGCTTCCACCAAGTGATCGAGCCGAGCAACAAATTCAATAAGCAATGAAGTAAAAGTGGCGAGTGACAGTGCTGCAGTGCTCTCGAGTGTCCGCATCCTGGGAATAAAGCCTGCAGCACTAAAGCTGCCACCTTCTTCAAAATCATCCACTTCTCTGGATGGCCATGAATAGAGCCTTCTTGATTGTTTTTTCATTCTCTCGTGATAAGACTCTGTCTGTGGTGGTGGTGGTGGTGGTGGGAGAGTCCCAGAAGCTGTGTTCTGAGTTGGTGGTGGATTCAAGTTCTGATCAAGGGTGGTGCTGTCAAGCCCTGCCAATTGGGTCGAGAGGTCACAAAGGGTGGATGAGAGGGTGTGAGAGAGCTTAGGAAGCGGCTTGGATGAGTCGTCCTGAAGGTTGACATTGGATGCGAGGAGATATGAATGCAAATCTATAGCACGCTGGAGTCTCTCAGTTGAGTTGTGAACTCCGTTCACCCGAGAAGTTTTGAAGCTTCGCTTCATGTTACTCACATCTTTGCCCAACCATCTAACCAGTTCTGCAGCCTGGCTCGTCGCCTCTCGGATCTCTGCCTGGAATGCGATTCTTAGATTGTAGGGGGCCTAGAAACATATGCCAATAGTATTATTGTCAACTATAATGTACAAATTGAGCAAGTCTAGATATTGCAACACCATAAGAGAGAGGGAGGGTACCTGAATTTCGGAGTGAAGAACACCATGAAGTGCCATAACCTCGTATGCACAATATCGTAGAACAGTACCAACTTTGACATATTCTGACCATGGATAGAAAAAGTGTCCAAACCTGCCATGCGGTGGCTCCCATTTAGCTGAACTAGCCTAGGAAAATGAAACCAGAAACAAGCAAGATCATTCATTGTTAACACCATCTATATATATATATATACATACATATGTATGTATGTATGTATGTATGTATACATAACAACATGATCAATATATAACAGTAATTAAGTACCAAGGACTCAAGTTTTGATGCGGAGTTCAATGTGGATTGGCATCTTTTGTAAGCAGGCTCATCTGGAAACTCATCCATGAGAGTCTTCAAGAACTCAGGATGATCCGAACCGTCATCTTCTAAATACTTCCTAACACATTCTGAAATTAATTGTATATATATATGAGAATTTTTAACAACCATAACAAATAATATAGTTGAGTTTAATTTTGTTTACTACACAGATAAACATATGTATACTAGTCATTACTGTTGTATGGAAGAATTAAGAGATGGTTTTTACCTTCAAGTGAGTCAGCCACTGAATCAAAGCTGCTAACTAGCTGTGTGTGTAATTGTTCACCAGCCCATGTAGGAAAAATGAGCACATTCACTAAAACTGCAACAATTGCTCCAATGGCGATGGAGTAAAGCCGATCGATGGCAGTGTTGATCGGATTCCCCATCCGATAGCCGGAAACTATGATCAAACAGTAAGTGAAAAGCACGACTCTGAATCCATACTCGTATGGCACAAGGGATGGCCATAACTTCATGAATGATGTCACAACCCCTGTAATTAATTAAGATCACAACAAGAAATATATAAGTTATAATTCAAATAATAAACCAAAATTGCTGATTTATATCTATGCTTAAGTTAGGAAAATAAATGTTTTTTAAAGATACTGAATGTTTTGAATTTATTAAGTTTTTGGTCATTGATAATAGGGATAAGGCGCAAAAAAAATTCTTGAACTATGTTTGAATTTGCAAATAATCCCATTGAATTATATTTTGCGCATAAAATCCCCTAAATTATCTCATTTTGTTACAACATACCCCAAAGACTATACTATATTTCATTAAATGACCGTAATGCCCCTTCTTATTGAATTACATTTAATATATTTTTCTTATCTAAATAAATTATGAAAAAATTCATACTAATTTGATGAGATATTTTCCGTTAAATTTGCAAAAATTTACCTTTAATTTTTTTAATTAATTATTTAAATAAAAAATTTTAGTATAAATTTTATTTAAAAATTAATTAATTTTTTAATTTTTAATGAATATATTACATGAAAAGAAGGTATTTTTTTCAAAAGTATTTTATTAAATTTTCATTAATATATTATATGAAAAAAATGATATTTTTTTATAATAAAAATGTTTAAATTGGTTATAATACGTTTTATTATAAATAATAAAGTTTTAATAATAAGTTAATCAATTTAGAAAATAGTAGTTACTAATCTATTTATCTTTTTCTTTTGTTTTTTTATTTTTATTTTTATTTTTATGATAAATTGATACTAAAAATAAAATTAAGCTAAATAGTATAATTAATATTTACATAAGAGAAAAGATAATAAAAATAATTTAATAAGAAATGAAAATTTTAATGAGAAAGGGTAATATAGTCTTTTGTGATAGATTTGTCCTTAATTACAACAAATCAATAGTTCACGAGAGCGATTTTTAGTTTAAGGGGTTATTTGCAAAAAGGCAATAGTTTAGGAGGGGTTTTTTGCACTTAATCCATGATAATAATAATATAAGCTTGAAATGAAGATATTAATTATTGTCCTGTAAATTACATTTTTACAGAATATTTAGCAAAATATAATTAGCCACTACATACCAATGAGGAAGATGCTGATACCAATTACAATAGGTTCTGCAACTCGACCAGAGATTAAGGCCAACTGGGCAATAGCAATGGCTAAGATTCCGGCAAGCAAGCTTCCAAGTGCTCGATTAAATCCTCGGTTAAACGTTGCACCTTAGAAATTGAATGTCCATACATAAATGATGCCATAACAAAAAGAAGTTAGTTCATAGATTCCACCAACTTAATTTAGTAGTATATACTATAGTATGTATCTAACTTAATTGTAAGCTGCTATAATTCACCAATATAAGCTAAATGAATATATGCACTTGTTTTTGCATGTAAATAAATGTTTGCCATGCATGGTCTAGGCTTTGGGATTGCGTGTGATGTTTCTAAATTAAATATATATATATATATATATATACATACCAACTGTGTATTCAAACATAATGGCCACAGTGAGAATGGACCAGATGATGTTAACGCCAAATATTTGATAGGGTGCTTCAAGTAGTATGAGCAAAGACACAAGGAGAACAGCAAGCCCCACTTTCAGTGAGAAAATTACTCTGTTCCTATCTTCTTTGCAGAACTCCCAAACACTCCATATCCAACCTTTGAAGGAGAAAACCCCGGCCTTGCCGAACTTGTTCCCTCTTTCCGGCACTACTTCAGCTTTGCTAATATTGGAAGGAATGTTGATTTCAAAACTACCCTTGCCATTCATTCTCCCAGTAAACAAATATATATATATATGTGTGTGTGTGTGTGTGTGTGTGTGTGTGTGCGCGCTCTTTTTGGCCTCTTTAAGTATTAAGTAGACTATTGATTAGAAGTAAAACGGGATTTAAACAAAGTTTTTCTTCAGTAACGTATGCAAGTAATAAGCTAGCTAGAGCTAGATAGATGTACAGTACTACTACTGAGATGAACTGAAGATGGTATAATTGGATTTAGTGAGAAGAAATAGAAGAAGAAGGTGGGTTTAAATAGGAGGAGTTGTGGACTAGTTGTTATTGCAACTATGACGAGATCATGTGTCGTCAAGATATTATGATAAACAATAATGGAAGAAATGATGGAGTTAAAAGACATGCATAGGAGAATATTTAAGATAAGAATGAAGTTGGAATAGCTTCTATTGAATTATAGAGTATAGAATATTTGAAATAAAAAACTTGGGATGGCTCATATGAAGCCGCCTCACTTTCATGTTGGAATATTATGTTTCCTAAGACTATGATATGACTAAATTATACGACTAGTTTAAGTATGTGATAAAAGCTAAATCAAGTTGTTGAAATCATGACAATGAAGAATATGCGCTTCACTCCTTAATCTTCAACATTCTCCTCTCCTAAATCTTCTAAGCGTTTACACACACCTACATCACACATGTTTTTTCGTCATCTTCAACATAAAAACTAGGGTTAATTTTTTTATAAAAAAAAAAAAAAACTGGCTATTTTTAAAATTTGATCATAAACACCTAATCTGTTTCAGAAAACTATTAAAAGTGATCACATTACTCTCAATATCCATGTCCAACTCGTTAACCGGGCATGTGAAATGACAAATTTAATCTTACTATTATTTAGGGGTAATTAGGGGGGTAATTAATTACACTCTGCTTAGTGGAAAATATAGGTAAAGAGATCGATCTCATGTTGAGTGCTTGGATGGTTGAGTAATTCATTAGTTCCCCATTAATCACCATTGTGCGCTCCAAAAAGTTGTTTATGATAATTGTTTTTTGTCAAAAAAAAACGCGCAATAGGTTTTAATCAAACTAATTCATTTACCAATAAGATGATGAAAGCTTTGTAAGCAACGTCTAACCAACCAAAAAACAGTTGTATACTCTTCTCCCGTAAAACTATTTTGCATCAATTTTGTTTTGAAAAGAATAACTTTCTTTTGTATACGTGGCTCCTCTTGCAGTGTGTTTATAATAGTTTTAAATGGGTCTGTTATTTAATTTAGTAATAAATAATAGTAAGGTCATTTCAGAGCCCGGTTAACATCGAACACTGGAGGACAATGTGATCACCTTTTATAGTGCTGGAATTTTTTGAAACAGATAGAGATTTATAATCAAACTTTGAAAATAGTGAGAGTTTTTTGAAATCAACCCTAAAATTTATTAAGTATACATCACTAGCTTTTTCAATTTTCATTCATATACCTTAGATTAATTCTAAGTATAGGTGTTTATGGATGCTGAAAGCAAAAATACATACGAGTATGGAAATGAGATTTGTGTATTGGAATATATTCAAGGTATAAAGCTGACTAAATATTATATATATTGTTGAGGTACATGCATGAGATTAGTCTAGGTGACAAAAAGCTTCTGTTCGTGTTTAAGACAACTGCAGAAAATTTAAATTGTGCTGCATGTGCACGCCTCGTAAGTCAAGATCGAATTTGTATAAATATTGTGCACTTTGTACACTCTTCTTTTAAATCAAAACGTGTTTACACAATTTAAGAATGTCCACACATACAAGTGTCATCAAACTCTCCCCTACGTGATCTAGGATCTCAAATAATTAGTTGTCAATCACAAAATCTGAATTCGCTTATGTAAATGACATATCATATATATGTGTGTGTGTGTGTGTGTATTTTATATATGTTATCTCTGCACCTAGTTGTGCTTATGTGCATCTGAATAGCACATATTCTACCAAGTTCTTTCCCCTGATCATTTCCTGCAATTCCCAGGAAAATTATGGCACCAAGGAAAACGACTTTTCCCATCCACATGTTTTTTTAGAAACTTCAAGTCGCGGGTCTTTTATAATAGAAGGTGACGTTGTACCCTATAACAGGGCTTTCCTTATATATAAACACACTCATTTTGTAAGTATAAAGATTTGAACTATCCAACTTTTACAATATTTTTCTTTCAGTGGTTAGTGGGAGTACGAAAATTCGAAGTCGGACTCCCAAGGACAACGAAAACAACCTTACCACTTGAACTAAGAAGGTGTTCGAATTAACCTTCTACTTTGATAGATCAAAAAGTATCACTATCATAAGATTCACAATCCTTGGTTGTTATTATTATTATTATTATTATTATTTAAAAAATTAAAAAGTGGGGGACTGGAACATGGGACACAGCCCCTTGAGGAGCTGCTTGATCTAAAGTCACTAAATAATACCCTTGGTTATTCTATATTTTCACCTTTGTGTTTTGGGTTCTTTTCTGCGGGCCCATTGCGTTTGACTCTTTTTATCTTTGGGCTTTCTTTGAGGGCTTCTGCATGGACTGGTGCCTAGCCTTTATATTCTTTCCTTCTTTAGCAATCACATCTTACGCGCGCGTGTGTGTAGCAATATCTTGTGTGTGTGTGTAATACACTATATATATATGCAAAGAAATAAGCAAAAGTTTATAAGATGTCCAGAGTGTTAAGAAATCAGAAATTAGCAAAAGTTCAAAAGATAGTCCAAAGTGTTACTTATATGTGTTGCTTTAACAAAATGTTTTTTCAGCATGGTGCATCATGAATTCCAATTTTCTTCCATTTTCAATTGGTTTTCATGCTTTCTCAACAACCAAGCAGGCAACATATGGTATTAGTAATTTATACAAAATGCCCATTACTATTTTTTTTTTGCTTTTTATACCTCTAGTTCATTAATTTTTACAAAATGCCCCACTTGAATTTTTTTTAAGACGCCCTATTAAATTCTTGTACATTTTATGCATATATAATTTATTAAATTATACAAAATGACCCCCTAAATTATGCTCTTTTTTTAAAAAATCCTTCTAATTCTTTTTTTTTCTTTTTCTTTCTTTCCCTTCTTGGTCTATTCTCTCCACAAAAAATTTCATTTTCTTTTTTCAATCAAATTATAATTATTTTCTTTCAAAGTTTTTTTATATATATTTTTTTCCAAAAAAAAAAAATTATTTTATCATGTTTTAACTTTTCCCCTAAGTCAAATTCCTGACTTTGTCTGTGATTGGATTTTATTACTATCAAATATTGTAATTCGAATCATGTTCAAAACATGAAAATAAAATAAAATTGACTATTAAGAGATTTAATTTAATGATACTTTTGCATTTTTTTAAAGTGAAAAGTTAAAAGTTCAAATCTGTATTATTTGTCAATAGGAAAATACCATTGCTAGAGTTGATTATATGGAATAAAGCATTTCAACGACAGAAAAACCATTATTAGTGTTGATTACATGGAACAGGGGAGTGAAAAGTCTGTCAACTTTCACATTATTTTTGTGCAAAATAAATTATCTTAGCTAAATGGTCCACCTGGACCCCACTTTAATGTTTAATAATTAAAATAACAAACGTATCCTCAACAGCGGAGTGGATGAATGGTTTTTAAAATAAGTTATTGTGAAATGCACTAATTTTTCCAACTAATTCTTTTAATAAATGAAATGAAATGAAAAATTTATCCTAAATTTAAGTAAAATTGTGTTGGGAGATATGGAATAGGAGTTTTGAAATTGGTGAAATTGAAAAAAATTTTGATTCCATTTTTCAAATTACTTTTCTCCAATTATATCAATTTTAATTTTAATTCTATGTTTTGCCAATAAGATTAGCCTTTTTTGTTTAGAAGGTGCACAATGTTAAAATATATATATATATATATATATATTTAAAGAAGTAGAAGGGAAAAAAAGGACAAAAAAAAAAAAAAAGGAAAAAAAAAAGAAAAATGACAACTTAAAAAGAAAAAAAAATTAAAATTTAATTTAACAAAGAAAATATTTTCTTTGTATTTTCTTAAGAAACTTGACGCGTAGGTTAGGAAAAATCTAGAAAACTAAGAGAAAATCCAATAAATAATCATCTGCAGCCTGAAACATTTACAATGGAAGTAGAACGATGTAAACCGTTGAATATGAATAGATCTTAAAAGGAATGATCGCTTAATCATTATAAGAACCTATTAGGACGCACAAATCATACCTCAATTATGTATAATCGACCACGGAGTAGTATATCCACCTCCTTCAAGGGCTTTTCCGTCATTTAAAAATCAACCTCTTTTTCAGACAAACAGGTATAGTTATATACGCGGTATCTTCACACCATTTGGTTCTTTTCTTATTTTGACTTTCCGAAGACCCAAAAACCATGGGTAACTGTAATGGCTTACCCACCTCCGTCCAAAACCGACTCCGCCCCGACGCCGCCGGCGGAGCTGGTGGTTCCGCCTCCTCACCATATCCACCATCCAACGGCCTCAATATCCACCCCTCCCAACCATCACCACCGGTACCACCACATCAAAAAGCCACATCCTCCGCTGCCGCCGTCCCCCGCCCGCTCTCCGGCGTCGGACGAGTCCCCTGCCGGCCAATGGAGGACATCCGCTCCACCTACATTTTCGGCCGCGAGCTCGGCCGCGGCCAATTCGGCGTGACCTACCTCGTGACTCACAGTCACCAAAGAGGAATTTGCTTGTAAGTCGATCGCCACTCGCAAGCTCATCAATATCGAGGACGTCCGGCGAGAGGTCCAGATCATGCACCATCTCACCGGCCACCGCAACATCGTCGAGTTAAAAGGCGTGTACGAGGATCGCCACTCGGTCAATTTGCTGATGGAACTTTGTGCCGGCGGTGAGCTGTTCGATCATCGAGAACGAACACTACTCCGAACGTGCCGCGGCTGATCTGTGCCGCCAGATGGTGACTGTTGTAAATAACTGCCATTCCATGGGAGTAATGCATAGGGATTTGAAGCCTGAGAATTTCTTGCTCTTGAGCAGGGATGAAAATTCACCATTAAAGGCCACTGATTTTGGTCTGTTCTTCAAACCAGGTAATAGTTCTAATCTCTTAATATATGTTTATATCATCCTTTGATTGAACTTCAAACCAGTGTTTATATCATCCGTATATGGCTCTGATTGAACTTGGAACTAGTGTTTTGTGAAGATCGAATTGATAAGTGAAACTTTATATTGTTGTGTTTGTCTATTTGGTGGTGTGTTGTTGTGGTTCTGCCTCTTTTATAGTTTGTCGAGTGTTTTGGTGAT